GAAAGTAGAACTTCTCTCACCCAGCAACTGTATAAAAATCCCAGAGAAAGATTCTGATTGGCCCTGCTTGGATGACCTGTCCACTCCTTGAGCCAATCACTGTAGCCGAGGAATCGGCTACCATGATTGGCTAGACATGGATCACGTGCCCACACTAGTGGGTGGGGCTGTGTGGGGTTCTCAGATCGGCATCTTCAACAGAAGCTTTTGGAAAGAACTTTGGGGAGGAATAGTTCCGTAAAGGAAGGTACGGCAGATGCTGCTGGCGTTCCATCCATATTCCTCAGGCCTTACTTCCCCATTGGTATACCAGTATTTGCAGCTCTGGGTCTGAGGGCTTTGCCCCCGATTCATAGAAAATGTTCTGCCCACTGGCCCAGCAGGTTGGGAACGCAGGCTGATTAACGCCCACAAAGAGCTGTCAGCCAATATGCAGCAGGAATGATGTGCAAATACCCCATCTGCCCCACCTCTTGTGTAGAAAAGCTCTAAGGTGTGTGTTTTCTGTTATTTCCAAGAGTTACCTCTAAAGTTCCAGCTTGACCTGCACTGTTAGGACCTCTTCCCTTCCCTGTCTCCCTACCCCCGCCCCCATGACTGTTTCTTGCACTTTCCAGATTAGCTACTTGAACCTGCATTCTAGCCTCAGGGTCTGCTTTTGGGGGAACCCAGACAAAGGAGAAAAGGATTGGGAGGGGACAAGGGCTATTGTTTCAGGAGGAGGAGAAGAAAAAAAGGGCAGCTGTCACCAATAGCCCTGCCCCTTCTTGCACTTGTTCATCTGTGGCACCTTAGGTCAGGTTTCTAAGATGCAGAACCTGTGACCTGGATTCTCATGCAGTGGTTTATTGAGTGAGAGTTTGCCGGAGAAGCAGCTAAGGAAGCCGCACAGCGCAGCGAGAAAGGCCGACGAAGGGGGGGGGGCTGGGGGGGGAAACTAGCCTTAGCGATCCCAGAGGAGCTCTGGAGCATGAACAGAACCACAAGACTGTCCTCTCTACCTTGAGGCAAGAGCCAGACCTTGACACCTTGCTATTATTGATCAGCCACTGGCTGCAGGCTGCCCTTGGGCGGGGGCGGGGCGGGGGGGGGGGCGCTGCAAACTTCCAGGCTGTCCAGGGCAGGTGAGATCTGCGCAAGGCTTCAGCAGCATCCTCTGCTTGTGGATTATTACGGGTTATAGGGAAAAGGAGCCTCAAGGCTGCTGAAACTTTTGACACAGACCATATATGCTGAGCGTAACAAAGAATTAGGATACAAGAGCTTCGCCTTCCCGAAGTTCATGGTGTGCTGGTGGAATTTAAAATAACACTACTTCCAGATGCAAACTATTATATATAGAATGGATAAACAAGGTCCTACTGTATAGCACAGGGAACTATATTCAATATCCTGTGATAAACCACAATGGAAAAGAATATAAAAAAGAATGTATACATACATATAACTGAATCACTTTGCTGTACAGCAGAAATTAACACAACATTGTAAATCAACTACACTTCAAAAATAAATTAAAATAAAGCTACTTCATCCACCCTTGCCAGGCACCCAGCTCATTGCCGAAGGGTATCTGTCCTCGTGGTGTCCAGTCTCCTCCTGTCGACCCCATTTCCTGCTGTTTCCCTGCAAGCACCCCATGTTCCAGCCAGCCCGGGTTCTTCCTCGACTGTCCACTGCTTCACGCCTCTGGGCCTTTGCACATGCCATTCCCTCTGCCTGGGATGCCCTCTCCTTTCTCATCTGCTTGGGAGGTCCAACTTACCCTTCCAAACATAGCTCAAATGTCATTCCCCACAGTTATACGTCATGAGCAGAAAAGCTTTATCCCAGGGGTGCCAGGAAAGTTTAGCATTTGAAAACAATTTTCATTCCTGGAATGGACCAGGCCAACAGAGTAAAAGAGAAAAATCTCTGGGGACCTGGAGATGTGCATGTGAATGACAGCAGCAGTGAGCCAGTATCGCACTGCAGGCATCATGCTAAGCCATGGAGGGGGAGGTGGAAAGGTTATACTGTAAACTTCATTTCACAGAGGAGGAAAGCAGGGCACAGAGAGGCTGGGTAATTTGCCCAAGGTCACACAGCTGGTAAGTGGTAGAAGCAAGAGTTGAACTGAGACAGCTTCACACCACATGTCATACTGAATGATTGAGTGAAGGCAACCAGCAGAACCAAAATGATGGGTGATCCAGAGAGAAGACAGCGCTGCTGAGTCAGGTCGGGCTGTTCAGGTCACTCCTTGCAGTGGGGGAGAGCGGGAGCTAGGACAGGCAGTTCAAAGGATGGAGAAGGATGCAACCCTTCCTGTGGAGCAGACTCCCAGGGACCCAGTGTTCTTCCTGCCCTGGGTCCCCACGGCCGAGGGCCAACCTCCACCCTCCCCCTTATCTCACTATATTACAATTGCAAGTTCACATGTCTGTCTCCCACTTTGGATATGGGGCCAGGTTTCACGCAGCCCTTTTTGGCCAGGACCATTTGTCCGGCCTGGAGACAATCCATTTTTCTTGAATAAAGGAGAGGAACGGTACTCAAGACTCCAGGAGCCCTAGTGAGAACACGGCCAGACCCCACTCCAAGAGACAGCAAAGCAAGAAGCCAGTTACTGCCAAGTGGTCAAAGGAGGACCAGCTGCTTGGCTGACAAGGTACCGACCAGGCACTTGCTCTTTCCCCTACGAAGGGTCGGGCCTGTGCCTGGAGTCTGAGCTTGAACTCTACAGACAGAACCTAAGGATTGCGGGGGCCATGCAGCTCATAGGAGAACTTGGAGGTGATGTTGGAGAGGATGTGCCTGAGAGTGTTGCTCCATGCTGTTCCTAGAATCCCATTGGTACCTCTGGGCTCAGGGGGAAAGTGCTGTAATGGATTAGCGATGTCTGCCATGGGTACTGGATGGGAAGTGGAGGCGTACTTGTTATGTGTTTACCACCCAGGTAGTAGCAGGGCTGTGGGAGAAGGGAGCTGGGCAGATGACTAGTAATAATCGTGACTAACATTTCTTAAGCACTTAGAATGTGCCAGGCACCATGTTAAATGCTTTTCCTGCTCTATTTCATTTAATCTTCAAACCAACTCTTGGAGAAGAGTACTCTGGTCCCTCCTCTATGTCAGCTCCATGAGAGTCATGATTTTATTTATCTGTGTTTAGCACTATATCCCCAGCACCTAAAAGAGTACCTGACCCATGGCCAGCACTCAATAAGTATTTGCTGTTGAGTAGATGAATTCCCATGTTGCAGATAAAGAAACCGAGGCCCAGAGAGATAACTTGCTCAAAGTCATGCAGTTAGCAAGAACGGCTCTAGGGCAGTGTCTCTGGAATATTGTGAGGCAATGGAATTGTTCTAGAATCTGTGCTGTCTCATATGGGCGCCACTAGCTGCAGGTGGCTGGTGAGGATGTGACTTGGGGCTCAGGCAACTGAGAAAGCGAATTTTAAATTCTATGCAATTTTAACTAACTGAAATGGAAATGGCCACATGCAGCTGATGGTGACCATTTTGCCTAGCACAGCTCTAGAGCTTGAAGGCTTGACCACCCTAGACACCCGGCCCAGGTTCTCCAAGTCAAACAGGATAACACCGAGACTTTTCCAATTGTAATTCCATTGGGGAGGGCGAGGGGTGTAATCAGTGAAGGAATCTCCAAGGAATTGCATTTGTGCTCCTCTGGCCACACAATTCTGGGAAGGCTTTTATCCCTGTGCCTAGTTTTACACATGAGAGGTTTGAAGATTCCAGAGGAGACATGGCTCGGTCAGGGTTACCTGCTGACCTTGGACCTCAGCCAGGTTTGCAACCCTGAAATGCCAAGCACTTCATTTTCACACTTGGCAAACAGGGAAGCATGGGCCTGGTCTGGTGAACCATGGCAGAGTCAGGCTGTGGGCAATGTCAGCTTAGTTAGGGACCTCAGTGATAAGTGACAAGCAGTTCTGACCAGACGGGCCCCAAGACGGAGCCAGCTCCCAGAGAAGCCGTGACATACAGGGAGCTTCCTGTACATTCTGTGCCTGGTACCTGCCTCCCGTCCTGCCTTCTCTCTTCCTTTCTTTTTTTTTTTTTTTTGTGGTACGCGGGCGTCTCACCGTTGTGGCCTCTCCCGCTGCAGAGCAGAAGCTCACGGGCCCAGCCGCTCCACGGCATGCGGGATCCTCCCAGACCGGGGCACGAACCCGTGTCCCCTGCATCGGCAGGCGGACTCTCAACCACTGCGCCACCAGGGAAGCCCTCTCTTCCTTTCTTGAGGGCTGGTATCTTCCTTTCCCTCTGGTCACAACACAATAACGTGATCTTGAGAACGAAGCTGATGAATGAATGCTAAGGTGTCAATGGCTAATAGAAAAGAGCCCATTCTGGGGACTTCCCTGGCGGTCCAGTGGTTAAGACTCTACCCTTCCAATCCAGGGGGTGACCCCTGGTCGGGGAACTAAGATCCCACATGCTGTGCAGAGTGGCCATTAAAAAAGAAAAAAACGAGTCAATTTTCAAATGATTTCTATGTTAACAGGAAACAAAGGCTTCAGCCAGAGAAGAGTCCTCTAATCGGTAGACAGTCAGGCATCGTCAGCAAAAGCTCAAATTTATGCAGCTTTACGCATGGGGTACTGTTGGAAGTGGTCAGCATGTAGTAATTCGTTTATTATTATTCATTCATTCATTCACTCACTCATCCATCATGTATTCATTCGTCAACACCATGACAGGGACAAAGCCTTCCCCATTTGGAGATGAGAAACTGAGGCATGGTGTAGCCGGTCCAGTTCACACAGCCGGCGAGTAGCCAGGCCGGGGCTCAAATCCAGGGAGAGCTGGGGAGAAAAGCCTTGGGGAGACAGAAGGAGGAAACGGCAAGTACCAACTCAGGGGAGGTCTTTTCTCTTTTAATCTGAGATTTTAGGGACGAGCGAGGCCTGGGCCCACATTCCCACTGTGGCTCTACCCATTTGCTGGTCTGTTGCTTCTTAGCCTCCAGTCTAAACAGTTACAAACTTACCGGAGTGATTGAGCCAAGAATTCCGCTTGCCAGCGTGATCCCGGGTGGCCCCTAGGCTGACTCGTTTATGCTGGGCTGCGATTTTTCTACATTACTCAGGCTTTGGGAGGAAAGCTGGGCCACGGACAAACCTCTGGTGAGAACAAGAGTTTTTAGAGAGCTGGCCCCGCCTCCTCCTTCTCCCCTCCCCCTCCCCTCCCTGGAGGGTGAGGGCTGCAGCTGCAAGCAGCAGTGCTCACGGGGCCTCCCCCCCAGCCTCCCCCCTCCAGCCCCCCCCAACCAGGCCCAGCTGTTCCGGGGACCCAGCTGACAGCTCGCTGACACTTCTCCCTGCCTCCCCTTAGGACCAGCTACAACCTCCTGAGCAACAGGAAGGTCAGAGCCAAGAAGGTAATTTGAAAGAAAAGCAGCTTGCAGCCCTTCCAGGCTGGGTAACAGGGTAACTGGGCGCTGGCATACGATGGCCTGGGTTCCTCATCCCGGTTCCCGCACTTACCAGCTGTGTGATACTAGCGCCAGCCGATCGTTCAGAGCCTCGGTTTCCTCATCTGTAAAGTGGGAATAACAGTAGCATGGACCCGCAAGGTACCAAGAGGATTCCACGGGTGGTGGAGAGAGTGCTTAGCATGGGGCCTGTGCGTTACCCACAATCAGCCTCGGCCCCCTCCCCCTCCCTCCTTTTGTTATTCTGTGTGTCCATGGGATGCACGTCTGTACTAGGGTGTTCCCCTGAGGCTTGGAGAATGAACATAACATTAGCCTCAAGGGTTCTTTGGGGACAGTCCCAACTGTTCCACCTAGGGCCAGCAGACACACAGGGCCCCACACTCAGAAAGGCCCCGCACTGGAGGTTTAATGCTCTACGATTGTTGTCTTGAAATTCTTAATAATTTTATCTTTTGATGTTGTATTTTGTAAGCAAAGCCAAATGGGACAACGGAGCATGTTCTGGGGGACTTGGAACCTCGTTCACAGGCTCCATCTCCCCTCACCCTGCCCCCCAGGACCATTTGTTTCTTTTTTTCTTTTCTTTTCTTTTTTATTTTTTTAATATAATTTTGTTTACTTATTTTTGGCTGTGTTGGGTCTTTGTTGCTGCACACGGGCTTTCTCTAGTTGCGGGGAGCGGGGGCTACTCTTCATTGCAGTGCGCGGGCTTCTCATTGCGGTGGCTTCTCTTGTTGCAGAGCACGGGCTCTAGACATGCAGGCTTCAGTAGTTGTGGCACGCGGGCTCAGTAGTTGTGGCTCGCAAACTCTAGAGCGCAGGCTCAGTAGTTGTGGCGCATTGGCTTAGTTGCTCTGCAGCATGTGGGATCTTCCTGGACCAGGGCTCGAATCCGTGTCCCCTGCATTGGTAGATGGATTCTTAACCACTGCACCACCAGGGAAGCCCCTGTTTCTTTTTTTAAATTGCAGTATAGTTGATTTACAGTGTCGTGTTAATTTCAGGTGTACTACATAATGATTCAGTTATACATATATAATGTATTTATTCTTGTTCAGATTCTTTTCCCTTTTAGGTTATTAGAAAATATGGAGTATAGTTCCTTGTGCTACACAGTAGGTCCTTGTTGGTTATCTGTTTCATACATAGTCCAGGACAGTTCCTGACCAGGCATCTTTGCCCCTGCCCGGCAATCACTGTCACCCATCAGGGGCCTGGGTACCGCAAGAAGGCTTGGGGCAGCCTCTGCCCTGCCCACCAGCTCACATGGCCCTAGGTGCCTGTGAGGGTCTGTCTGCACAAGTCCCACAAGTGCCCCTGTGTCCAAAGGAGAAAGGGGTGAAACAGCAAATAAAAAGCTCCACAACGGGTCGCGGGAGAGACTGCAGAAGAAAGGAAAAAGCTGTTTTATTGCTTTATGAACAACCAGGGAACCACCTGGCCCCAGTTCCACTTGATGGGGCTGAATCTCAGAAATGATGGGGTGCTGAGCCACTGACTAGGGGTACTTCCCAAGACAGCCTTTGCGGGGAGGTCACAGCCTTACAAACAGGTGCTCCTCTGACCCAGCAACTTCATTTTACCATCAGGCGTGGGTGCAAGAATGTTCACCTGTGTTGTTATAATATTGAAGCCAGCTGGGTGCCCCAAAATGAGGGAGGGTCAAGTCCACAATCCAATAGAAGAGAACTTATTGACATGTGAAAAGCTCGTGATATTTGCAAAAGTGTGGGGGGGGCAGTTTCCAAAGGGCCTGCGTGTGCCACATGGAGTCACATGCATGGATGCGTGGGGAACACTGGGCCGATCTACACTTAAGTACTGACAGCTGTTCTCCTCGGGTGGGTAATGTTTTCCCATTTGTGCTTGTCTGTGTATTCCAAGTTCTCTGCATGGAGCATGCCTCATTTTTATCATGACACAAAGGCAGGATGGTGCAGAAGACAAGGTTAGGCCTGCAGACTGCGGTGCTCAGTTCTGACCAAATTCAGAACCCAAACAAGTCTGATCGTTGAAATTTGAATATTGGGAAAAACTCGTCTTTTCTAAGCCAGGTTGTCTCTGGCATGGGAACAAATACACACAGGACTGCCGAGGTTCCAAGCCCAGCTCTGCTCCTTACGAGTTCTGTGATCTTGGGCACAGAGTTAACTTTTGCAGGCCTCAGTTTCCCCTTCTGTAAACAGAGAAAGTAAACAGTACCTCCCTCAAAGAGTCCAGGAGATGAGATGAGTGAATATGTACAGGGAGCTCAGAGCAACGTGTAGCACATGTGAGCTGTACAGGGGTTGTGGTGGTAGTGGTGATATTATTGTGAAAAACTACATAAGGAGAAAATATGGATAGACAACAGTATTAATAATTATTTTTGGACAGTGCAGGAGTGAGTGGTTTATTTTTCCTTTCAGACTTTTCCAAATAAACATGCGTGACTTTTCTAATTTGAGAGAAAATGAGACGTAAAGGAAAAAAAAGTGAAAGGATGGTTCACCAGGTGGTGATAAGGAAAACAGCACAAAGTCAGCTTAGCCAAGCCTGCACGTGTTTCAGGTCAGTGTCACGTGGGGATTCCTGAGCCTGTCCCAGGCGCTTTCTACAGGCAGTCCCTTCAGTTTGTACATCTTCTCATTCATACAGAACCCATCACCGGGAAGACAGACATCCATGCCAAGTTATAGGCTGCTAAAATATCTAGGGACTTCCCTCAAGGTCTAGTGGTTAGGACTCCGTGCTTCCACTGCAGGGAGCATGGGTTCTGAGATCCCTGGTCAGGGAACTAAGATCCCGCATGCCATGTGGCACGGCCAAAATAAATAAATACATACAATAAAAAATCTAAGCTAAATCTCTCTAGATAGATAGATAGATCCACGTATGCGTAGAGAGATCCATATATACCTTTATATCTACCTGTCCTTATCCATATCTTTCTATGTAGAATCTTTAAGTATAGCTATAAAAAAGAATACATCCCACCCATAGCACTCTGAATATATCCCTAACACAGGACTGACCCGGATACAGTAATTGCTCATTTATTTGTTTGTCTCCCTCCCTAAAATCCTTGAAACTATCTTCTTTCTAACCCTGGCAACTACCACAGTGCCTGGCACATAGTAGGAATTCCCTAAAAGTCTGCTGAATGAATTAATGAATGAAGAAGTACATGAATTCATGTAATGGTGGAGATTTGCACGTCAGGATACAGACATAGAACAAGATGTGAGATTAGCTTTGTTGGGGTGTGAGATTAGCTTTGTTGCTCAAGGAGGGGTCAAAGATGGGCAAGTAAGGCTTTAAAGAGTTACCTGAGGGCTTCCGTGGTGGCACAGTGGTTAAGAATCCGCCTTCCAATGCAGGGGACACGGGTTCGAACCCTGGTCTGGGCAGATCCCACATGCCGCGGAGCAACTAAGCCCGTGCGCCGCAATTACTGAGCCTGCGCTCTGGAGCCCGCGAGCCACAACTACTGAACCCGTGTGCCCCAGCTACTGAAGCCTGTGCGCCTAGAGCCCGTGCTCAGCAACAAGAGAAGCCACCAGAGTGAGAAGCCCGCGCCCCGCAACGAAGAGTAGTCCCCGCTTGCCGCAACTGGAGAAAGCCCACGCGCAGCAACAAAGATCCAATGCAGCCAAAAATAAATAAATTTTTTTTTTTAAAGAAAAAGGTACCTCCCTGTACCACGAAGAGAGCATTCTTTATTAAAAAAAAAAAAAAAAAAAAAAAAAAAGACGCTCTCAATCCTTCCCAGAGAAGGCAGGGAATAGAAAAGCGAGGACAGAGAGAAGTTTTTCTGTTTGGTTTTGCTTTTGTAACAGCTTTGTTTATTTTTTTAACATCTTTATTGGAGTATAATTGCTCTACAACGGTGTGTTAGTTTCTGCTTTATAACAAAGTGAATCAACCATACAAAAATATGGAACGCTTCACGAATTTGTGTGTCATCCTCGTGCAGGGGCCATGTAATATTTTCTGTATCGTTCCAATTTTAGTATACGTGCTGCCAAGGCGAGCACTACAGCTTTACTGAGATGCAGCTCATACCATATATTTTTTCTGGTTCTGGCGGCGCCGCGCGGCTTGTAGGATCTTAGTTCCTTGACCAGGGATTGAACCCAGGCCACAGCAGTGAAAACGCCACGTCCTAACCACTGGACTGCCAGGGAAATCCCAAATTCACCCTTTTGAATTGTACATTTAAGTGGTATTTTCTGTATATTCAGAGTTGCACAATCATCAATACCACCTAATTTCAGAACATTTTTATCACCCTCCCCCCCACAAATCTCTTAACAGCCACCCACTCCACTTACCCCCAACTGGTTAGCCCTGGGTAACCACTAAGCTTTCTGTCTCTATGGACTTGCCAGTTCTGGACACTTCATATAAATGGACTCATACAATATGTGTCCTTCTGGGTCTGACTTATTTCACTTAGCATAATGTTTTCAAGGTTTATCCAAGCTGTAGCATCAGTTTGACAAGGATAGATCCGTGATGGTTAAACTCATTCATTCCTCGAAAATCTATTGAGCGGCCACTAGGTGCCAGCCCTGGGGGCACAGCCAGGAATAAAACCGACAGCAAACCCTGCCCTGGAGGGTTTCTAGTGGGGGAGAGACACAATAAGTCAAATGAACAAGGAAATGATTCTGAAGATTAGACGGTGGTAAAAGCTAAGTGAAGCGGAAAGCTGGAAACGGGGTTAGGAGAGAGGCATGGTGACTTTAACCACGGGGTCAGCGAAGGACTCACCGTAGGGTGAACGCAGACGCCGACCGAGCTAAGGCTGGAAGGAGGTGAGGGTGCGAAGGTGCCACCGCGATGGCCCCTCCCAGCACTCCGGTCCCCCAGGCCCGGGACCATGCCTGTCCCTCCACGCCGTGTCCCCGCGCCTAAGACGGCGGGCGACACCCAGTAGGCATTTCACGGTGCGTGACTGTGAGTGGCCCGCCTGGGTCACAAGCGAGTCCTGCGGCCGGGTGGACAGCTGGGCGAGGCTGGGCGAGGACGCCGCGCCCCCCGCGCCCCCCGCGCAGGCCCCGCCCGCCTGGGGCAGGCCCCGCCCCCGCGCCGCCAGAGCCCACCCCCTCCCGGCCGCCGCCATTGGCCGCGCGCGCCTCCGCCCTCGGCCTCGCACTTCCTGGCGGAGCCATGGCCGCGCACCCGGCCGGCCCACGGGCTCCGACGCCCGCGCCCCGCCGCCCCGCCCGCCCGGCCCCGCCGCTCGGAATCCCCGCGCCGCGCCCGTAGCGCGCCCTCCCAGGTGGGCCTCCGCGCGCACCCCGCTCCTGCCCGGGCCGAGAGCCGCGCGCCGTCCGGGGGCTGGGGCCGGGGCGGGGGGCGGGCCTGCCTCGGGAGGGTCCCCGGCCCCGCGAGCTGCGACCCGGTTCCGCCCCCGGGATCTCTTTGTGCTCGGGGGGTGGATCGCGGGGCCGGGGGCGAGCGGAGGGGCCGCCGCGGGGCCGGGGGGGGGTTGGACAGGGGGCCGCCGCCCCCTCAGGTGAGACAGGTGCGGCCTGTGCGGCCGGCCCGCGCGGCCCAGGTGAGTGACTGTCCTCGCGTCCCGCCGCGGGCGCCAGCCCCGGGCGCAACCCAGCTCCGCCTCCTCGCAGCCGGCTCGAGCCCGCCCGGGCGGCCGTTGTGCCGGCGGTTCCGCCAGGGGGTGCTGGGTCCGAGCGAGCGACAGAGGCGTCCCCGGAGACCCTGCGGGCGAGACCCGGGATGGGTGGGTGCCGGCGGGCGTCCGCGTCCACCTCCACGACGCTGTTTCCCGGAGCGCTGCGGTCGGGCACGTTCAGGGTCGAAACCCGGGGAAGGAGCCGGGAGAGGAGGCTCCGTGGGGACCCTCCCGTCCGGACGCGGCCTCGGTTCCCGTGTTTACTAAAAGACCTTTTACGCCTCACTGGGGATCGCCACCGTCCCTGCGTGTGGCCTTGACCCCTCACCTGCTTGCAGAAAGCGCAGGAGGCAGCTAATATCCACACTCCTGTAGCAGTGAGCCCCAGACCACTTTCCCGCAGACGAAAGGGAGCCTCCACAAGGGGATACTCTCTTTAGAAATCTTGGCCTAGAAAAGAAAGCTCTTAGCACTAAAGGCAGACCTGAGCCCTGGCTGGCTGCCTGCGGTGGTGCAGACTGTCTGCTGTGTGACCTTGGGCGGGGCGGCACGGCCACCTGAGCCTGGGTGTCAGAAACGATGGTGGCTGGCACCTGTCTCAGAGGGTGAAGGTGAAACAAGGAAGTCAGGGGTGAGCAGTAGGTTGGGTGCTGGTGTTCTTCTCTTCCCTCTCTGAGCCGCCCAGCATCCTAGGAGCAGACAGAAAGGACAGGGGTGGGGACAGCTGGTCTTTGTCACAAAGTTGCTAGTTTGTCGAGAGAAATCTCGTTGTCCCTTCCTTCCCCCCAGGGAGCTGGCAGGGTGGACTGTGCCTGGATTTGTCCCCCCATCCTCCGTGGGAGCGCTGGAGCCCCCTCTATGTGTCCCTGATTATCTTGACACAGAGCTGACTCCTTGTCACGTTGTTCCTTTTTAGCAAAGGCTGTGTGTTCAGTAGGTAACAGATTGACTCTTTTCAACTCCCCTAGCAGCGGGAAGAATTCCTCCTTAAACCCTCAGTCCCAGTATGCGACTTGTGCCCATATTGCTAGCTTAATCCTTCCTCTGTGTGCCCCCCATCCTCCAAGGTCCCCCAAAGCCCGGCTCTGTGCTGTTAGTGGGTTGCCTGACTTTTCAAAACTGGAAGAAACCTTAACATCCCCTGATGCACCAGCCCAGTCTGTAGATTCAACCATGAAGTCTACAGAGGTTAAGTTGCTTGGTCAAGTTTATCCTGCATGTTCCAGCCGGGGCATGGGCTCCCCCTGCAGAGGTTTCCTGCCCGTGGGCATTTTTTTAATGGTCAAGTGAAATAGCCCAGGGATTGAGAGCAGGAAAGCCTCCTTAGGTCTGCTTCTTCCTGTGTGTGACGCTGGGCAAGTTACTTCCCCTCACTGCCATCAGCTTCTTCCTTTATAAACTGAGGATAATAATAGTGCTGTCCTGGTGGGCTTGTTGTGGGGATTAAATCAGTGAGACACAGAAAACACTTAAGACAGTGCCTGTGTCTAGAATGTATTTTATACTTGGTAGTCATCACTGCATCATAGCCTTAACTTCATGAAATTTTAAAAGTATGAGATTCTTAAAGATTAGGCCACACTCAACCAGGCATCCCAGTGAAGGGCCCATGTCTGTCCAGTTTTGAAGCCGGACAGACTCAGGTTTGATTCCCAGCCATTCACTAGCTTTGTGACCTTGAGCTCAATATCCTCATCGATCAAATGGGTTCAGTGACATCAGCCCAGCCAGATGGTTGTGGGAGTTTAATGAGATAGCACATGTCAGCTTGGTTCCAGGGTCATAGTCTGGGTTCTGAAATGATAACTGTTGTCATTATAATCTTGATCTCTCGAAAAGGCCTAATTCAGCTCAAGCATCCAAAGGTAGGTACTTGTAGGAGGTGGGCTAAAAGACGTGATGAGGTGAAAAAGGAACACTTATTAAATGTTCTATCTGATTCTAACCCTCTGATTTTTCCAGCTCTCGGAGTAAGGGAGTTCTTTGTAGTACAGTTTTTTCTCCCTCTTTCCTCCATGTGACTGTTTCGCTCTTGCTGTCACTGATACCTGCCAGCAGAGCCTGCGATTCATGAATGACCTCGAGTTATTACTACACGCTCAGAAGTCCTGTTCTTGTCGCAGGGCTGCGATCTTGTTTATGATGGAGGGAAGCCGGCAGACGCGAGTGTCTCGGCCGTCCAAGATCAGCGAATCCTCAAAGGTCTGTGAATGGGTCGCTCACCGCCTGTGCACATTGCCAAGGAAGCATGAGATTTTTCTGATGAGCTCATTCTTATTGCGCAGACTGATTTTCTGTTCTTGGTGTTGATGTTAATCTCCTTAACAATGACTAGAGGTGGCACAGGGAAGGAGTGGAAAAATCATAAAATCAGAGAGAGCAGGGGTTGGGGGTTGCGAGGGATGTTAGAAACACAACTTGACTCGTTTATCCAACACCTGGCATCTACAGGACAGGGTGGACGCCGTGGGATTTGTGTTTCCACTTGGGGCTCAAAAAATCCAAGACTGTGTCCGTGGAGAAGCCAGTCCACAACCTTATAGTGGGAGCAACACTTTGTGTACCTGGATGTTAAGGGCCCAGAGTCTTCCCCGGTCGTGACCTTCTGAGACCCTAGGAGCCAGTGAGGGTGGGTTCTCCACGGCGAGGCTACCTACCTGTGGCACACGGACTACATCAGACTCACCCTGGGAGACGGGGAGGGGGCAGGTGTCTCATGAGAAGCGCATATGCCCGGCCCCGCCCCAGACGTGCTAAATTAAAATCTCAGAGCAGGACCTGCAAATCTGTACCTTCAGCAAACTCTTCAGGTGACTTGGAGCGGTCCCTTTCCCCACAGCTGCTGTAGATAAGGTTTGGGGGACCAGTTGGTGAGACAGTCCCAATTTACACCTGTCTCTTTATGAATATTAATAACACCCTTTTCTTTATTTATTTTTTCGGCCGCACCGCAGCTTGTGGGATCTTAGTTCCCCGACCACGCATTGAACCCTGGCCCTCGGCAGTGAAAGTGCAGAGTCCTAACCGCGGGACCGCCAGGGAATTTTTTTAAAGTGTCCTTTTTTGAAGATTAAATGTCATGTTTACCGTAGATCATGCATTCTCCATGGGGCTGACATTGCTTACAAGGAGACGACATGGGTTCTTGGGGGTCTGGAAAGAATTTTGCTCTTTTAAAGTATAAAGCTATACATATAATACACACACAGATATATAGACTATATATTATGTGTTTAAATGACATGGCAAGCTATATAGGAAAAAAATATCTTAAAAGCAGACTGAAAAAAAGATGAAGAAATACCATTTTAGATAAAGGGAGTTGGGAGCAGCCTATAGATAAGAGGAGAAGAAGGGGGAACGAGGTTCGACAGGTATGTAAAAAAGAAAAACGGGGTGTAATTTTCAGGGGAGGTTGGTCCTCCTGAGAAATGCTCTCGTGTTTCCATTTGAGTTGACTGAGAAGACTCTTGCCAAAGCCCGGCTTTATCTACTGCGAAACCCCAGAAGGGTCTTGCTGCTGACTCAAAGGGGCTTTGTCTGGGAGCTTGGCTGCAGAGACAGCGTAGCTTTCTAAGCTCGGCAGCACTAGAAATCTTTGTGCCTCCAAGCCAGATTCTGTGCTTGTCTCTCTCTGAATTGAAGCTTTTAGGAATAGGCTTCTCTGTCCCTTGGTTCATTGTATTTATGTTCCTAACTCTTTATATTTAAAAAGTGCCCAAATCATAATGTACCCTTGATTTTCTAGACATTGAACACACCCAGTTAAAGAACATTATCAAACCCTTCCAGCCCCTACAATCAAGACAGCCACTCGCCCAGCTTCCAGCCCTGCAGTTTTGCCTGCCCTTGAACTTATATACGTGGAGTCGGGGTGGGTCGCCTGGGTGCCTGGCTCGTTACTCTTGTCACCCTGCCTCTGAGGTTCAGCCTGGTTGCTGCACGTGCGGGTAGATCGTGCCCTTCTCGGAGCGGTGGAGTCTTCCATTGTGTGGCGGCCGCTGTTCATTTATCTGCTCTAAAATGTGTTGATCCACTTTGATGCTGAATTCTTTTTTATTTTTAATTATTTTATTTATTTATTTATTTATTTATTTGGCCATGCCGCGCAGCTTGCAGGATCTTAGTTCCCCGACCGGGGATCGAACCCGTGCCCCCTGTAGTGGAATCACGGAGTCCTAACCACTGGACCGCCAGGGAAGTCCCTGAGTTCTTCTCTAATATAAGATACCCCATGCCTGCTTTCCGCCCAGCGTTAGACCCTGAGTTTCTTCACCTGATTAAGGTGCTAAAGTAGGAAACAAAGGAATGAACAGGGTTAATACCACTGGGGAGTGTTGCAGGTTGGAGTTCCTAAATTATATGAAATGTTGCAACTCAGTTACTGATGCCAGTTTAACGTTGGGAAGTCACGTTTGTCTGTTTTTAGTTCTGGTCTCTGCTGCTGTACTAAATAACCAGAAATGGGCTGTAGTCAAGACCCAGGTAAAGAATTAAACTTGCCCGTTTAGCCTGGAGACCCAGCTGTAGAAACAGTGGCTGCCGTCCCCCCTGCCCTGGCTCGCTGCAGCAGGTGGCTCCCCTGGTAGCTGTCATCTGGGGCTCTCCCCAGTCCCCGCCCCTCCCCAGGGCTGTTTCCCTTTTCACGCGGTAGCCTGGGGGCGTGTGTGCCCCTTTTTAAGCGGGGTAATTCCAGCACCCTCACCAGCTTGCAAACAACCAGGAGCCCATGGTGGGCTGACAGCCCACCTGTCTGATGCCCCTCACTTGCTTCTCTAGGACACTAGAGAAGTCTGATGCCCCTCACTTGCTTCTCTAGGACACTAGCCTTCACTGTTACTCGGTAGCTTGCCGCTGTAGTGCCTTTTTCATTGCCTTCCTTCAGTCCGCACCCAAGAGGGGCCCCAAGCCAATATGTGTTGAAGCCCAGACCAGGCCAGCCTGGCTCTCTCTGAATAACCAGGATAGAGGGAGATACCTGTGTATATGGACCTTCAGGAAACCATCCTGTAATGTAAGGTAGGAGAGCTTGGCTCTGTAAACTGGGAAGGGAAGGAAGCTTTAGGGAACGTCTGTTTGGTACCCTCAGAATGTGAGGACATTGCCCGAGACTGTTGCACAGACAGAGCGATTGATGTGGGAATTGGCCGGACGGGGAAGAACCACGGGAAATAAAGTGCCCCAATTACTAATGCATCGGAGGCGGTAAGGAGCAGATTTGGAAGGGAAGAAAAAACCACCCCCCTGCCGTAGGACACATGTTGAGAAGTAACCCAGAAGGACCTGTGCACCAGTCACCCAGCTGCTCACACCTGCTGAGCCCTCACCCATCTGTGTTCCTTTCCACCACCACTTCCCCTCGGGCTTAACGCCTGCCCCGCCCCTTTCCCCAGTCCTCCCTGAATCGCCCTGCTACCTAGTTGGTATTTCTGAATGGTCTGTTTTTCCATATGTTGAATTTTTTTGTTGTTTTTATAGGGAATAAATAAAGCAGTGTGAAATATCCTAATTAGTTCTTCCAGGGCATAGAAACCGTTGTCTGGGTCTGATTTTTCTTTGCATCTTCCAAAGCCCAGGGCAGGCAGATAACAGTCAAGCAATGTCCACCAACCTGAATTTATTGAATTAATTCCTATTAACTATTCGTATTAATAGATTCGTTAATTCCAGTGTAGCGTGGTGATTAAAGTTTTGGGCTCTGGGATCAGACCTAGGTTCAAATCCCAGCCCCGCCCCTCAGTCCCTGTGGGGCTTTGGGCAAGTTCCTTAGTCTCTCTGAAGCTCACTTTTCCTCCTCTGGAATAAGGGGGTTACAACTGACGTTCCGTTGGAGGGTTCCTGGGATGCTCAAATGAGAGTGTGCAGGCGAGTGCACAGTGCGGTCTGCGGCACATACAGCTCCCGGGAAAAGACAGCGTTCCTGCAATTTACATACATTTTCTGGCAATGACTGTTGAAGCCGTGTCTCTGAAAGTAAGATTCCCCAGAGCACGTTAGTCTGGATATATTGCAGTCTCTGGGACCCTCTAGCTCCCTGGACTGGTCTCTGTAGCATAGCTGTCGGCACCGCGACTCCGTGGGAACTGACGGTCACAGCTGCTGACTTTGCTCCCGCTGTCCCCGGGCCAGCTCTGCGCTATGTTCTGGCTCATGACCCCTCCCCCGCACCAAACCTTGGGGAGACCAGGAGCCGAGGCTCAGGCTGCTCGTGACTCACCCGGGTCACACAGCTGCAGAGCAGTGGCGCTGGGGTTCCACCGGCTCCTGTCCGACTGGAGAGGCCACGCCCCAGGCAACTTCACCTCCCGATAGGACAGCGTTTTCGAACCTATGTGCCGTGACCCACACACACTAAGGAGGAAAGAGAGACAGGGAAGGAAGGAAACTTTGGGGAATCCTGTTTACAAAGAAGGAGGAGAGAGGGAAAACGAAACAAAGGGAAAAAGAAAGATTGAGTTAAAATTTTTATTTGTAAAGAAGGGAGGAAATATACAAACACATATGCACACGTACAGGGAAACACCCTGACTTTCTGCGAGGTGCTCTGACACCTTGTTGCCTGTTCTCTCATTCCACTGTATGTCGGTGCTGGTCGCGTAGCGCTAGCTGGGCCGCTGCGGTGTGGGGGCGGGTTGACAGCCCCCTCCCCTACTGACGCGCGCTCTCCACCGCCACCGCAGGCGTACCGCTGGGCCGACCACTCAAGCACGGTGCTGCAGCGGCTGAACGAGCAGCGCCTGCGCGGCCTCTTCTGCGACGTGGTCCTGGTGGCCGACGAGCAGCGCGTGCCAGCCCACCGCAACCTGCTGGCAGTGTGCAGCGACTACTTCAACTCCATGTTCACCCTCGGCATGCGCGAGACCTTCCAGAAGGAGGTGGAGCTGATCGGCGCCTCCTACGTCGGGCTCAAGGCCGTGGTGGACTTCCTGTACGGCGGGGAGCTGGTGCTGGACGGTGGCAACATCGACTACGTCCTGGAGACAGCCCACCTGCTGCAGATCTGGACGGTGGTGGACTTCTGCTGCGAGTACCTGGAGCAGGAGGTGAGCGAGGACAATTACCTGTACCTGCAGAAGCTGGCCTCCATCTACAGCCTCAGGCGGCTGGACGCCTTCCTTGACGGCTTCATCCTCAGCCGCTTCGGCACGCTGTCCTTCACGCCCGACTTCCTGCAGAACGTCTCCGTGCAGAAGCTGTGCGCCTACCTGGGCAGCAGCCAGGTGCAGCGGGAGTGCGAGCACGACCTGCTGCAGGCGGCCCTGCAGTGGCTGACGCAGCGGCCCGAGCGCGAGGCCCACGCCTACCAGGTGCTGGAGAACATCCACTTCCCACTCATCCCCAAGAACGACCTGCTGCACCGCGTCAAGCCGGCCGTGTGCTCACTGCTGCCCCGCGAGGCCAACTGCGAGGGCTTCATCGAGGAGGCCGTGCGCTACCACAACAGCCTGGCGGCCCAGCCGGTCATGCAGACCAAGCGCACGGCCCTCCGCACCACCCAGGAGTGCCTGCTGTTTGTGGGCGGCGAGGTCTCCGAGCGGTGTCTGGAGCTCAGCGACGACACCTGCTACCTAGACGCCCAGAGCGAGCAGTGGGTCAAGGAGACGCCCCTGCCGGCCCGGCGGAGCCACCACTGCGTCGCCGTGCTGGGGGGGTTCATCTTCATCGCTGGCGGCAGCTTCTCGCGGGACAACGGAGGGGATGCGGCATCCAATCTTCTTTATAGGTATGACCCCCGCTGTAAACAGTGGATCAAGGTGAGATTAAAGCCAGATTATTTCTTTACTCTTGAGGACTTTTGATCTCCTTAACCTTAGCCTTGACTGCCCCCACCCCCTTCTCTCGGGCCTTGACCACCACCCTGCTTCTGAACGAGGTGTGACGATAAAGTGACAAGCCACATCATTCCCCCCACCCCCCGGTTGGGGGCGGTGAGGGCTGACCGGCCACCTTCTGCAGGGACGGTCGGTGTCCAGAGCATCGCCGTGCAGTAGAACTTTCTTCACCGACAGAACCGTTCTTCATCTGCGCCATCCGATACGGTAGCCACCAGCCACGTGTGGCAGTTGAGCGCTTGAAACGTGGCCCGTGGGACTGAAGAACTGAGTTTTCCATTGTATTTCATTATCACTAATTTACATCTGAGTGTAAATGGCCACAGGAGGCCAGTGGCTACCATATTGGATGACACGGGTCTGGAAGATTGACCCAGAGTTCTGACAACCTCCCCGTGTCTCAGAGTCTCCGCTGAGTTCCTCTTTGGGGCAGGTTTGGAGCTGGTCAAGGGGGCCACGAAGGCTCACACCTGCTGGGAGTCGTGGCCCTTCGGCAGGTGTGCCAGCTGATTCCGGGACAGGCCTGGGTCTTGATGTCAGACCCAGCTTCACGCCCCAACTTGGCTAAATCGTAGCTGGGGGTTTCAGACCGGTTCCTTGCCCACTCCAAATTTCAGCTTCTCCCTCTGGAAACGGGAGGGGGGATGCTGACCTTCCAGGGTCGGTGGTTGTAGCTCACGTTGATTGGCACATGTGCTCCTTTCCTCCCAAGAACCAGATGGCCACCCATGAAAGTCTGTCTCAATCTTTATACTCACACCTCAGTCTTCTTACTTAACTCGGTGCTTTTCTGAGCTCAAGGCTCCGAAGGGACTTGGGTGACCTTTTGATTTTATTCTCAAAACTCTAAAACCAAGGTGTAAGTCTTGCACTTGCAGTTGAGGGAGGCTTGCAGCTTTGAAGCCCGTCCTCCAAACCTTCATCACGGTCGCAGCCTGACATGGGCTCCTGCAGGACCATGTTCATTCGTGTGTTCTGCTTGGATGATTAAGAAAAGAAAGAGAAAGACTTGGGTCTTCCATTGCTAATTTTCTGTGGAGCACCACCTTATGCCCATCAACACGGATGAGAATCAGCATTAAGTTTTAAAATATCTGATTGTGGGGGGGTGAGGGGAAAGATGAACTTTTATTTCAGGAAACCACTACATCAGCAGTTCTGACCTGCGTGTGCTGCAGTCCACAAGGTCGGCCACGTGGCCAGACAGGTGTGGGGAAGTGAATTCTCCGTCCCTCTCGGGGATTCACGAGGTCTCGAGGGTCCTGGGGGCCCTGAGAAATCCCGCCTACAGAGCCCCCCTTTCTTCAGGTTTGGCTCCCTTCCCCAGGCTCACGTGGCCACCACCTCGCCTTCCGGGGCTGTGCCTTTCGTGGAGCATGTTTGGGGGTGCGGTGCTGGATGTTGACGCTGACCCGAGTTTGGGGAAGGGAAGGTACAGGTGTCTCGCCTCCGCAGGTGGCCTCCATGAACCAGCGCCGCGTGGATTTCTACTTGGCCTCCATCGAAGACATGCTGGTGGCCGTCGGCGGCCGGAATGAGAATGGAGCTCTCTCGTCGGTAGAAACCTACAGTCCCAAGACCGACTCCTGGTCCTATGTGGCCGGCTTGCCAAGGTGATTGGGGTTTTGTGGCAGACCCTACAGACGTGGAGGCTTTGGGGTTACAGTTGAGCCCACCTCCCTTTCTGGATACTTTGGCCTTCCAATTCCAGGAAGAATCTCCTGGCTTGTAAAAACAGCGTGGGGAGCAGAGGGCATGGTTGTCAGGGTGCCTGTTCTGGGCCGTCGGAGTGCAAGTGTCAGCTCTGCCACTGAGACAAACATCCCTCTGTTTCTGAATCTCTTCACTTCCTGAGTTTCGGGGAAATGAGTGCTGAGTTCAGAGAGTGAGAGATTTACTGCAAATCCCTCTGACTTTGGGCAGGAGGAGTACAGAGGGTGAGGGTTCTCTACCCTCCATCTGACTCCAGCAAGTGTCCTCACCCCACACTCTCTCTTTTTCCTCATCTGTAAAGGGGATGTGATGTCAGTACGACCCTGTCAGGGTGTCCACTCACTGCATTTGTTACTGTCACGGGCTTAGCAGAGGTGCTGCCATTTATTTGAGCAGCTCCCTATAGTAGAAGCTGCACGGCTCCTCCAGTCCCCGCCCCCCCCCCCCACCCCACAGTAACGACCACCTTCAGGTAAAGGTTCCAAGAAGCCGATGAAGTAACACCTGGACACCTGTGGATAAGGTGATTGGACAATCATGATAGTAGCTGTTGATCACCACGTGCCAGCCTGGGCCATGTGCTTGATGTGATGAGTCCCTTGATATCCACAGTGATCCAGTGGGGTGGGTAATAACCCATGTCATGGATTACCCAAACCCGAATGCCCGTGAACGGAGAGCTCAACCGTATAACTCCTGACCCTGTCCTAGGCAAAGCAAGACCTGTGTTCTCCCAGGTTCAGGTCTTGTGTACCACCCCACTTTACAGATGGAGAAGGGAGACTTAATTACATAAGAGTATCTGCCTCTGTCACTTTCTCCAGGCCAGCCGGGGTGGTTTCTGTACCTTAAGTGCGACAACAACCCTATCGTTATTTTTTCTAAGTGGACCATCGATGTCCAGAGTTGGAATAAACGTAACCCATGATGCTGCCGTCATTAGGGCATGCATGCCCCACGTTTGTTCCGTTTGTTTACTCATACTTTTTTCATTCATTGACTTACTTGTATAATGAGACCTCCACAAACCCACAGCCCAACCCAGGAGTCGAAGACGTTGAACGGTAGCCCACCTGCCTGGGACCCATTTGCCCCGTGTGCTCTTCTCCCATCCGCTTGCTTCCCGCCTCCAGCTAAGGAATCACCATCCTGAATGTCGTGACGCCATTCCCTTTTTGTTCCACTTTTGTGTGCACTTTTTTTTGCTGTTGGTAATCTCTTCTTTGTCTGTATATAGATCTCATTTTTTAGAGCGATTTTAGGTGTAGAGAAAATTGAGCAGAAAGTACAGAGGTTGCCAGGCGCACCCAGCTTCCCCCGTTGCAGTAACTGGTACATTGTTTCCAGCTAATGCAGCGAAGTCGATACGTTAGCTAAGCTCTCTAGTTTACATCAGGCTCCCTCTCTGGGTTGTGCATTCCGCGGGTTTTGACACGTGTACGATGATGTGTATCCATGATTACAGTGTCGTACGGCATAGTCCCAGTGCCCGGAGAATCCCTCGAGCTCCATCTTTTCATCCCTCCCTGCTTCCCCTGAGCCGCTGGCAGCCACTGATACTTACTGTCCCTGTAGGGCTGACTTTTCCAGACGGTCGTGTAATTGGAGCTGCACTTTGTCGCAGGCCCTGCTTGATGTGTGATGGGACCAGGGCCACACGTGTGCCTCAGTGGCGTAGCGTTTCTAGCCCTGATGAGACAGATGCGGTCTTGTGATGATGCCCACTTCTCAGATGGGCAGAGAGAGGACAGAGCTGCCCGTGTGTCACCTGCCCTGCTCCATCTGTCACCCCCTCCCATCCTTACCACCCCCTCAGAGGGCAGCTTGTCCCCACTTTGCCGAGGAGAAGACCAGGTCCCCGGCTCACAGAGGCCCAGCCTGTGCAGCACTGAGCTCCCGCTCTGTCTCTGTCGGTCCGTCCATCCATCTGTCTCTCCACAGGTTCACGTACGGCCACGCGGGCACCATCTACAAAGACTTCGTGTACATCTCAGGGGGCCACGACTACCAGATCGGCCCCTACCGCAAGAACCTGCTGTGCTATGACCACCGGACAGACGTGTGGGAAGAACGGCGGCCCATGACCACGGCGCGTGGCTGGCACAGCATGTGCAGCCTGGGGGACAGCATCTACTCCATCGGAGGCAGCGACGACAGCCTCGAGTCCATGGAGCGCTTCGACGTGCTGGGCGTGGAGGCCTACAGCCCGCAGTGCAACCAGTGGACCCGCGTGGCACCACTGCTGCACGCCAATAGCGAGTCGGGGGTGGCCGTGTGGGAGGGCCGCATCTACATCCTGGGCGGCTACAGCTGGGAGAACACGGCCTTCTCCAAGACGGTGCAGGTCTACGACCGCGAGAAGGACAAGTGGAGCAAGGGCACCGACCTGCCCAAGGCCATCGCCGGCGTGTCCGCCTGCGTGTGCGCCCTGAAGCCACGGCTGGAGGACAAGAAGAAGAAGGGCAAGGGCAAGAGGCCGCAGGACCGCGGCCAGTGACGCCGCCGCCGCCGCCTACGGCGCGTCTGGAGACCAGCAGCCACTTGGTAGAATCCCGGAACCATTATCAACGACTTAGCAGCTTTTTTTACTTTTATGATTCTTGGTATTTCTATGATATCACAGTAACCGATTAAATATTCTGTATGACTTGACATATTATCTTGCTTGAATAATTAAAGCGGGGCCCAGGCAGGAGCGACCCCTGTGTCTGTGCAGGGCTGCTTCCCACGTTGCGAACCCCCATGGGTGACCCCCCCGACGGTCCCCCAGAGAGCAGCCAGGGCAGGGGTGATGCAGAAATTTTCCTATCGAAACGAAGGGCTGCGGTGGGACATTACAGATTCCCTAGTCCACGCCTCCCCAAACCTGGCTGAGCTTTGAAGAAAACAGGTTCCTGAGCCCCGCCTCAGAATTATCGAGTCTGAAACTACCAGGAGTGGTGTAGGGGAGCCTAGAAACTCCTTTAGCCGGTCCCTGGGACTACTGAGCGTCGGCCACGTTCGGAAATCATTGGCAAGGGCAACATGCCAGGTGGAGCACAGAGACCCATAGAGGGTGCCTGCGTGACCGAGAGCCACCAGCTCGCCGGCGGTCAGGCGAGCCGTGGGACTTCTCACCAGGGAGGCCTCCCCACTGGGATTCCTTGCTCAGATGACTGCTGCTTCTAAATAATCCTGTTTCTCCTGGTTGGTGGTCTTCCCGAATTCTAAAAGGGGGTCGGTAATCAAGGAAGAACGGTAAAAAGGGCGCCTTATTCTGTGATTTGTGCTCTCGTCTCTTTACCGTTTCTTTTTTCTGGAACCCGCCGTTTCTCAGATTACGATGTACTGAGCCGCACAGATCTCCATTTATCACTCAGGAAAGAAAAAGGGAGCCCGCAGAATGTGCCATTGTTTTCTGTGACTCCAGCTCTGAGAAGCCACGGGAAGCTCCACGCGAGTGAGTGAGGGCCCGTGGATCCCCAACAAGGGAAGGTTGTCCGAGCATCTCCCTCGACGCCGGCGCCGGATCCTGGTCGCGGCCGTCCGCTGCCGAGTAGTTGTGTGCTGGGCGCCAACTTCTTTAACAAGTCATGAGCTGTTTCCCCCTTCATTAAGTGACAGATGAGACAATGGGCAGGTCTCCTCCCAGGGGTTCAGCTCTCTCAGTCTATATAAGCTGTGAAAGTGGATTCCGCACCTCCTCGTGAGATGCGTGACCGGCCCGGCCCGGTTCCTGCAGTTACCGGAACTCACAACAGTAGCGTGTGCCGTTTAAGGAGAGTTTGAGACTCGTGCCCAAGCCGCTGTGCCACACCAGGACGACGGGCATGGGGTGGGTTTTAATCACGAGACAAGGGAGGCCTTAGTGATCTATACTGAGGCGCAGATCTGACTGCAGAGACGAGAACACTTCCAGATGTATCGTTAACACTGCTGTTAGAATGAGAATCTCAGTTAACTGCTTTTTCCCTTTTTTGTCTCCACTACACTTCCTTTCCTTTCTCTCAAAGGTTTACTGTGATTTTGATCGGCCTCTCTCTCTAGTAACCGGGAGAGCTGAGAGCCACTTGGGAGGTGAAAGCTTCGGTACCCGAACGACTGCCCCCTCTCGTGAGACGGGCGACCTGTCTACATATTTAGCTGGTTCCCTGCCTGTGGAAGTCGCTAAAGGCTTCCAGACTCTTGAGAGGTTCTGCAAGGCATACAAACAGTCAAACCAAAAAACTGTCCATCTTCCTGGAGCTCTTTAAAACAACATTTAGGTGTATTAAAGGCTCTGAGGAGTCCTGCATTAACTGCTAACCCTCCATCAACCCAGCATTTCCAAACTTCATTGAGCCCGAAACCCTTCTTTTACCTCAAACCTAGTCCAGCCCTCCTCGAAACATGTTTTGCAGAACTACTGCCAATTTTGGGATAAGCTTACCCCCTTCCTGTTCCAGGAAAGGTTTCATTATTTGAAGACCCTTTAGAAGGCACAGAACCTGTGGTCTGTTCTCCCCACTTCAGCCCAGGTCATGAGCAGAGAGGTGGTCGTTCAGTCAGAATCCAGGGGCAGGTCGGGCCGAGCACATGGGAAGGCCGTGCGTGCTCTGGGGAGCGGGGAAGGCCTTGACCTTAGGAAGCGGACAGGCACGAATTTTTAGCCTAAGCCAGCCGTTGTGTTTTTGACTTCCAGGACGTGTCCCAGGATAAGGGTGCAGTGCTGGCCTCTACTCTGACTTTCTTGTGCCTTGCAGGTTAACATACCATGTCCTGCACCGACTATTCTGTGATGTCTCCCTTGCCACTGTGAAGGATGTTTGTGATTTACATGCCTTGGAATCTAATACGATTGAGGCGGTGAGTGTTCCTTGAAAGGTAGGGTTGACGAGGAAGTTTCCTTTTGGAGACCAACTTCAGATCATTGGCAGTGGCTCCACTGCGCTAACAAAGGCTTTCGAGCTCACTGGCGTCCGTGGAGCGGAGGGTCCTGACCCGTGAGCTGCGCCTGCCTGGATGAGGGAGAGCACAGTGGTGGGACTGTGGCAGGTCTCTGCTGTCTGTGGTTTTAAGATGGACATCACCGTGCCGTGCGGTGCAGCTAAGATCGGAAGAAAATGGTTTATAACCCAGGTGGGCAGAGCTTGGGGACGTACTTATGCAGGTGGGCGTTAGAACGGCAAAATCACGATAGTGTGATTTCAAACCATGGTGATGCAGGCTTGGGTTCTCCTGGCTGCCACGTTGAGACAGAAACCGCAACTTTTGCCATGATTTTGTCAGACTCAGCGCTCCGAGCTGTTCTGCTAGAACTCTGACGATGCTTGGATAATCTTACTTTGATCTTTCAGAATGAGCCTGGTGGGCTTTTATTGAGGTTCTGATTTTTTTCTTTTAAAGAACTAGAGTTTTAACTTCATATTAGTGGTAGCTTTTGAGTTTGATCCTCACCCAAATTGGAACCCTGTTTGCTTAAGCAGAGTAGAAAAGCTGAAGAATCCTCGTACCTTACAGTGGTCTCTCTGCTGTTTAAAATACACGGAGATTAGCTCAGCACCTGCTTGCGTGTGTGGCTCAATTCGTATTTTCAACATCCTGCTGCTTTAGAAATCTAGAGTACCAGGTAGGACTCCTTCTAGATCTTGATCTGAGCAGAAAACCTCATGTGTGTATTTGTATTCTGAACGCCCCTCCCCTTGACCCTGAATGATATAAGTCGACCTGAATGATAGGAACCCCAGAAGCCAACCGTAAAGGGTGTTCGATTTGGGATGGGAACCCAAATGCCAAAGGGAGGTGGAGTCCCTCCCAGGTCCCACTCTGAGTTCAGGTGAGTTCACCTGTGGCTCAAAGTGCCTGGCCCCTAAGCCAGGAGTGACCTTTGGGTGATTTGCAGCCGTGGGGGAAGGGAAAGGACGGCACCCTGCCACCCCAACCCCCTTGTAGACGTAGCAGCCTCCGCCTCTTACCCTGGTCCCCCGTGGCACGTGGCTCTGCCAGCCACTTAGCTTTTGGCTCTCGGAACTTTTGGCCAGAATCTCAGACCACTGGTCCCAGACCTGGAGGGGCAGTTCCGTGTGGCGTGGACATCCTTGCTGTCTCTCTGGAGATTCTGAGCATCTTCAGCGGGAAAGGGGGCGGAGTCCCCGTCTCCAGGATAAACCTCTGAAATGTAGGGCAGCCCTCCGGGTGCTTAGAGAGCCTGCCCTGTGTGTCCGCCAAGCCTGGCAGTTTTTAAAGTTTTTTGAAATGTTTTGATACTTTTTGATACCATTTGCTAATAACCTTTTGTAGTTGCCTGCCGGGGTTCTCCACCTCCCCCCACCCCTCGAGCTTGCGCTAGACAGCAGGCGTCCCCAGGTCAGCGCCAGGGTCTCGCCCACCTCCTGTGGCTGTGACTCTCCTCCGTGGCTGCGATCTGGTACAAACTCTTGAATTGTGTAAGGGCACACGTGGCCCGGGAGTGTGACTGTCTTGGGCCCCCCAACTGAGCAGAAGGGCAGTGCTCTATGATGAGGACACTCTTCACGCCCTGAGATGTTGTGCATTTCTTCCAAAGGTCCTACCTCAGCAGTGCGCAGAGTTGAAAAGATACCTGAGGGCTGATCCATGTATCACCTGTCCAGTACAGGTCGTTCCTCAACCCAGGGCATGGCTGGGTCTTGATTCACTCCTGTCCACGCCTCCTTTTAAAGAGACATTTTAACACGAAATCCACAAAAGCTGTTAACAGTGAACCATCCTGCACTTTGCAGAGTGACTGCCCTTAGTTTTGGAGGTCGTTCATTTCTTTTTTTTTTTCCCCCTTTTTACATGGGTAGAATTTGTGGCTTCGCAGGGTGTTTGGGGGTCTCAAGAAATTGTCTTTTGGTTGCCTTAGTTAAAAGAGTTGAATGAATGTACAAATTTTGGTGGTAGAGGGGGGCGGAGGAGAAGAACCCTCCCGTGTCAGTTTTCTTTGAGAAAAGGAACTCCACTTTTCAGAGTTACTTGAGCCGTCCTTACAGGTTTGCTTGCGACGGAAGGAAGAGTCCTTTGGACCAACTGAAATCCATCATCAGTACCAGCCCCCTTGCAAAATGAGTAAGATCTTTGATGATTAAGTATTGATAATTCACTGGGTATGTTCTGGCTACTCAAGTTACCGAAATCTGTAATTACGTGTGTGCTCTTTTTTTAAATTTGTTGCTTTTGTATTTGTAGTTGTATGACACCCAAAGCTTTTCTGTGTCTTACCTCTTCTTTAATTAATTTTCTGCACGTTGATTTCCCCCCCCCCCCGTTTTTAATTCCATAAAGAATATTCGATTCTCAGAACACATTAAACATGATTTGCCTGCTAGGGTCTGGCTTATTTTATAATTATATCCCTTGGTCTTGTGTGGTTATTGTAATAATCTTCAGTCCTGTTTTCTCCGCCTAAATGAAAAAGAATCCCTTGCATGTTGAGCCCAAATATAATTTGGAAATTAACCAGACTGCCTTTCAGTGTCGCGGCAGGCTGGGACGTTTTGATTCTGCTCTCACTATGCTTCTAATGACTCTATTTTACCAGGAATTTCATTCAGATCCTTGACTGCAGCCCCAAGTCCTGTGACCGGAACTGAAACTATTTGCTCCGATTTGTGTCAGTTGGGGTAATTTGATAGGAAAAGAAAAACAGACAAGGAATGGGTTATGTTTATCAGAAAGATACAATAACATTTCTATAAGAACAGAGTCCCTTGACTGCCCTTGGGGCCCAGGAAGGGGAAGACGGCTCCCCTGCACGGCCACCGGCAAGCAGACGAGCCCAGTCACGGCCTCGGGCGTTTCTTCCCGCAGCGTTTGGCAATTCAGCTTTGGGAGGATGGTGGGAAGTACCTGCCATGCATATCGCACCTGGAAACTGGATTCGAATTCGCCTGTGAGCTGCCCCAAATGGGACACCGGCTACCAGATGCTAAATTCGCCTGGATTCTCTCATTTCCAGAAGAATCTTAGGTTAGAAACGCTGCTCCTCCCCTTTTCCGGATGAAGCACCCAGAGCTCGAGCTAATTATCTTACCCAAGTGCAATTACCTCACCTCCCCAGCAGGTCCGCACTCGTCTTGGTTTGGGTCTTCTTGGACAGAGAGCCTTAGGTGAGGGCTTGGTCCTCATGTTCCCAGGAAGCCCAGCGAGACCAGGAAGGAGGAAAGGCTGCTCATTGGGTGCTTTATCTACGGCTGAGTAGGAGCCCCCCCCCACCCGCCGCCACGCCGCCACGCTGCCACGCCGCCACGCCGTGGCTTAAAGCCATAGCATCAGTTATTTTTGCTGACAAATCTGAGGGCTGCCTGGGCTCAGGTAAGCAGCGCTCACCTGGGTCTCACACAGTCCCGGCCAGGTGGCGGCTCCTGGAGGCTCACTGCCCCTCCCCCTCCTTCCTGTCCCTCTGCTCTGCTCCCCCTGCCCCTGCCCCATCCCACGGGTCTCTCTCTCTGGTCACTCCAGGTGCTGGCCCTACCACATTTCTTACCTGGCAGCCAGAGTCTCCCAGAGAGCGTGTGCCAAGTGCGACTGGCAGCGGCCAAGTGGCTGCCATCCTGCTGCTTGAGGGCATCACAAAGGCCACACAGGTTGGAGGTGGCGGGGGCGACAGAGATGGCATCTCTCAGCAGGAAGGGGGGGGCGGGTGGGTATCAATGAATTGGAAAATCCCACAGGACCCCGTGTGTTCCCACACATCCTCTGCCCAGGGAAGGGGGGCGGAAGCTCCCAGAGGCCCTAACCACCTCCACTCTGGGGCTGCTCTGCTCACCGAGCTCACTCTTCAGTGTCTGGAAGGACTTGGGGCAGAAAGAAGCACCGTGTGTGACGGAGGGGGATGCTGTCAGCTTGAGGCCAGCGGGGCCCACCCTGTAGTGGAATCAGAGGACAGCAGAGGGTCTGTGTCGGATCCCAGAGGCGCCTGCTACGTCTGGAGCTGGATTTTAGCCCGAGTCTGCCAGCTCAGACCCAGCTCTTTCAACTACCTGAAAATGATCACCATGTAAGTTCCCTGCGTGGGATATTATGTCCCCAGAAGGCCGTGCTGGGATGCAAATATGTGAGCTGAGGGGCTAACGAGGGAAGCCGTTAGCTTTCACTCAACCACGGGCACAGATGCTGTCCCTAACGCAGAATTAGCAGAGAGGCAGTGGGTGCAGGACAGGCAAGTCTGCAGGGGGCTGGGGGAGGGGAGACTGAGGACCCAAGCGCATCTCTTCAGATCCACCTACAGAAGAGGTCCACACCACAGGTCGGCTGAGGCCAAGGCCATTGTCCCAAGGACCCACCTACGTCCTCCGTGGAGCTTGACAGCTCTGAGTGTTCTCACAAAGCTGCCACATAGTCACTAGGTGTCCGCTTTGTGCCAGGCAGGCACCGAGGGGGGTGAGGGGGCGATACGGTGGTGAACAGACAGCAAGACGTCCTCCCCAAGGACTTACATCCCAGTGGGAGAAACAGACCAACAAAGCCAGGTCAGGTAGGGATAGCGGCAGAATGCACTGAAACCCATCGAACAGTACCCTTAGATGGGCAGATGTTATGTGTGTGAGTTATATCTCAGCAAAGCTTTTTTTTTTCAAACTCTGCACGGGGAGTTCACATGGCAGGTCAGGGGAACAAAAGGCGCTGAACAAGGGCTTCCCTGGTGGCGCAGTGGTTGAGAGTCCGCCTGCCGATGCAGGGGACGCAGGTTCGTGCCCCGGTCCTGGAAGATCCCACATGCCGCGGAGCGCCTGGGCCCGTGAGCCATGGCCACTGAGCCTGCGCATCCGGAGCCTGTGCTCTGCAACGGGAGAGGCCACAGCAGTGAGAGGCCCGCGTACCGCAAAAAAAAAAAAAAGGCGCTGAACGAGAGAGAGCTGGGGGCAAATCGCAGAGCATCTGAGCAGCGGAAACCCATCAGGAGGCCTCTGCCATCACCGCCATCCACTCCAGTGATGGGGGCCGAGAGCAGAGACTCCCCGATAAACCCCCGTGGGAACACACCCCAGCTGTCCCAGCTCCCTGTTGCTGGTGCTCAAAACAACTTAATTATATTTTACTATATTGTCGGCCGGGAATTGGTGTGGGGCTCAACTAGGAGATACTACTGTTCCACGTGGCTCCAGCCGGGGTCCCTCGGTATTACAACCTCACTCGTGTGGTTGCTTTGAAGGGGAAGGCTGGCTTCACCTGGGACCTATAACTGCACCCCTGGCCTTTCCCACAGAGTGGTCTCAGAGAAGGCTGAGGAGTTCCCGCCTGCTGGCTCAAGGCAGCCCTGTTCTAAGAGATAAGAGGTAGAAGCCGCCTATGTCCTTTTCTAAAAATAACCTGCAGTAAAATGTACTCTGTGTGTGTGTAGAGTTCTATGAATTTAAACAAATAACCATTCAACTATTCACTGCAAAAATTAAAGCCCGACAGTGGGTGAATGGATAAACAAAATGTGGTCTAGCAAGATGATGGAATATTACTTGGCCCTGAACAGGAACGAAGCGCTGACGTGATGATGTGGATGAACCTTGAAAACATTATGCTAAGCTGAAGAAGCCAGGCACAAAGGACAGCGTATTGTAGAATTCTGTTCATATGCAGTGGCCAGACAGGCAAATTTAGAAACAGAAAGTAGATTAGTATTTGCTTAGGACTGGGGCGGGGATGAGACAGGTTAGGGGTGCAGGAGCTAAAGGGTATGGGTTTCTTTCGGTGGTGATGAAAATGCCCTAAGATTGACAATGGTTGTAGTTGCACACATCTGTGACTATATGAAAAGTCTTTGCATTGTATGATATGTGAATTACATCTTATTAAATGTGTTTAAAATACAAGAGCGGTAATTCACCCCGTTCTCTGAGTTTCCTGTGTTAGTCTCCCAGATAGCTACAGGTTGAGCGCCCGGATAGAAACCTCCCTAATTGGGTTCTAAAATTGGGGATAAAATGGTAAGCATAGAGGTAGTGTTGATTTCAGGCCCACCAGGGAGCAATTCTGCGTGTGCAGACCTCATGGCATCCTTCAGAAGGCGCCCTAGAGCAGGGGTCCTCCAACAGCGGTCCCTGGAACAGCAGCACCTGCATCCCAGGGAGTTTGGGAATGCATATTCTCAGGCCCCGCCCCAGATCAGCTGACTCAGCCACTCCAGGGGGGCCCCAGCGACGTGTGTTTTTCACAAGCCCGCCTGGAGAGTCTCACGCATGCTCGGTTGAGAATCGCTGCTCTCTAGAGGGTTGTCTCCTTTCTGCACCCAAAGGCTTTCCCGAGCTGTGAGTCGGACAGATCTCCGACAGCTGTGCCCGGTTTGCACTGGCCAAACCTGAACCATGGGGCTTCCCTCTGGTTAAATACAACCCAGCCCAGGGGTAGCTGAAGCCTTGAGCTTGAGAAGGCTGGCTCGGTCTTGGAGCAAACCTCTGCAGGGGCCACACACCTGCTGCATCCCAGGGAAAGTGAACCTCATCTATGGACTTCCTGTTGATGGGGGGGAGGGGAGGAGGCAGGAAGCCCTGGGGTGTGGCCCAACCCTTTGAATGGTCTCCAGCATCCGCTGGCTCTGGGACTTCATGCTTGGCCCAATGGAATCATTTCACCGGGCATGCCACAGCAGTGATGATTCATCTTCTCAGGGGTCACCTAAAGGCGCTAAAAATATATCACTCCTGTACGCAGTTCTGAACTTCTAAGTGCCCCAATGCTGTGGGTTTTCTTTTTTTGTTCCAGGCTGAAATTCAAGAGACCAGGATTCCAGTCTGATCTTTGTAACTAATTAGCCTCGAAGAAGGCTGTGCTTGGTGTCTCCTCCTTTCAGAATGGGGACTAGATCCCACCTCTGTGACATGGATGGAGCACGGGGCTGTGCATCACGAAGGTGGGGTATTTTGTGGGTTTTTTTTTTTTTTTTTTTTAAGATTTTGCCCACACCCACAGCATGTGGGATCTTAGTTCCCTGACCAGGGATCGAACCCATGCCGCCTGCATTGGAAGGCAGAGCCTTAACCACTGGACCAGCGGGGAAGTGCCAGGAATGTGGGTTTTAGCTTTGACTCTGTCACATGCCACCTGGACAAGACGTTTTGTCTCTTAAATCTCAGCTCCTTACACTGTGGGATGAGATGTCCCTCAGGGTGTGACCTGCATCACCCTTGTCCCCTAAACAGCTGCCTGAAGGAGCTCTGGTCAGGAAATACGTGGGGGACTGTGGAGGTGAGGTCCCGCTCTTGGAGGTTCACATCAGGCTGCACATTTGTATATTACAGCCTCTGACAATCCCATTAAAGACATCTACCTTGGGAATTCCCTGGCGATCCAGTGGTTTGGACTCCACACTTTCACTGCTGAGGGCGTGGGTTCGATCCATGGTTGGGGTACTAAGATCCCACAAGCCGCGCAGCCGGAAAAAAAAAAAAAAGGTACTTACCTGACTATAGTTAACCCAGGATTTCCCGAGCTTGTTTGCCCCTGGCCCCTTCCCTGCTTTTTCCTCTGTTAATAGCTTTAGAGACTTTATGTCATCATAACACCTCTTGGGGAATAGGAAGCTAAAAGATTTCTGTGTCCCATCAATTGTGACAGTCAAAGATTCAGCGATTGTCCCATCACCCGCTTGGAAAGATACCACAAAGATGTCAGAGAAGATGGTCAGCTGATTTTTCAGGATTCCCCATGGAAGATATTGGCTTGATGTGGTTACTGTGTTTTAAGGTCTGGCTTCTAATTTTGCGTATCTAGAATCTTGATCTGGTTAATGCATCTGTGATGGTTAATAGTATGTGTCAACTTGGCTGGGCCCCAATGCCCAGATATTTAGTCAAACGTGACTCTCAGTGTTCCTGTGAAGGTGTTTTTTGGGTGAGATTAACGTTTAAATCAGTGGACTTTGAGTAGAGCAGAATGCCCTCCGTTACGTGGGTGGGCCTCATCCAACCAGGTGAAGGCCTTAATAGCACAGAGACCAACCTCCCCAGAGCAAAAGCGGGAATTCTGCCAGCAGACGGCCTTCAGACTTGAACTACAGCCCTGGCTCTTCCCAGGGTCTCCAGCCTGCTGGCTAACCCTGCAGATTTTGGACTTGCCAGCCTCCGTAATTGTGTGAGCCAACTCCTTAAAATAAATGTCTCTCTCTATATATTCATAGACATCCCATTCTTTCTGTTTCTCTGGAGAACCCTGACTAACACGGCACCCGTAAAAGAACAGACTCAAGGAACTCACTACATGAGCCAGACTCTGAAAGAATTCAGCAAGGGGAACTCCTTCCAAGAGCAGACTTTTGCCCACGCAGCTGGTCACCCACTTTACGGGGAAAGAGAAGTAACCTGAGATAAGAATGTATATAGATTCACGGCCAGTGATAAATAGCTTCACTGGTTGGTCAGAGACCTGGAAGAAAAAGAGGACTAAAACCAAGCGTGTAGGTTTTTGTATCACATGCAATGTTCACTAGAGAACATTCACCATGGAAGAGGCCACCCCGGTGCTGACACAACAGGCATATGACCAGAGTAGCCATGGCAACAGGGTTGAAGGCTGTGCATGGGCTCCATTTACCAAGGCTCATCTAGCTGTTACCACTGCCACTAACGTAGACCAGTGTCAAGCCCCACATATGGTACCATCCCTCAAGGAGACCCGCCTACCGCTTGGCGACCAGTTGGTTACATCGGACCCCTTCTACCCTGGAAGGCTCAGCAATTCATCTAGACCGGAATTAATGATAATCCAGGTATTTTTTTCTGTCCAAAGGATCTCTGCTAGCATCACTCTCTGATGGCATACAGAATGCTTGATCTGCTGACATGGAATCCAACATAACATCCCCCTGAACCAGAAGACGCATTTTACAGGAAAGGAGGTAAGGAGGTGAGCATAGAGCCATGGGATGCCTGGTTCTATCACCTATACCAGAAGCTTCCAGCATGATAACACGACAGAAAGATCTTTTGAACGCACAGTCAAGGCGCCAGCTTAGAGATGATTCCCTGAGAGTTTGGCATACTATCTCCCCAAATGCAATCTACTCCCCAACTTAACTACCAATAGAGTATGATGTGTCCCCAGCAGGGAGAATACATTGGTCCTGGAAGCAAGGGACAGAAAAGCAGATTTGGTCCTGGTCAGTACCACTCCCAGCGACCCTGTAAGAGGTGTGCTTCTCATCCCTCCAACTTTTGGCTCTGTGGGTCTAGAGGTCCAAGTTCTCAGAGGAGTTAATGTTTCCACCTAGGGACACGGAACGGTCCCCATTAGACTTTAAGCTCTGACTTCTACCTGGTGGAAAACTTTAAATGTGTGGCTTTTATGGTATGTCAAGTATATCTCAATAAAGCCGTTATAAAATAAATGAGTAGGGCTTCCCTTGTGGCGCAGAGATTAAGAATCCTCCTGCCAGTGCAGGGGACACGGGTTCGAGCCTTGGTCCAGGAAGATCCCACATGCCGCGGAGCAACTAAGCCTGTGTGCCGCAACTACTGAGCCTGCACTCTAGAGCCCGTGCTCCCCCACAAGAGAAGCCACCGCAACGAGAAGCCCGTGCACCGCAATGAAGAGTAGCCCCCACTCGCCGCAACTAGAGAAAGCCCGTGCACAGCAAGGAAGACCCAACACAGCCAAAAATAAATAAATAAATAAATTTATAAAAAAAAAAGAAAGTGATACCTCAAGAAGCCAACAGTGTTTGTCTTTGAAGAGAAATGAGTTTTTCTTCTTTCTACTTTGCTTTACTCTCTTTAACCCTTTGAGCTTGTATTGCCTTCATAATTGGAAAGAATTAAAACAAACTGGCATCTCACAAGTAGGATGGAGCCTCAATCCCCTGCCTCTGACCCTTCATCCCATTTGTTTGAGGTCATGGTCCTGGTGGGGGTAATGATGACAGGTGCTTGGGTGCCCCTCCCCCTCTCCCAGGAGGCTACCCTCCCCAGAATCTGCTCATGAAGTTCAATTCAAAATCATTGTATAACTAATGTATCCATACTGCTAACAACAGCAACACTATCTTATATGCAAAACACTTTTATTTAATCATAGAGCAAGCGCAGCATAGTAATTACCTATCAAATGGTAATTATGGTTTTATTATTTTTTTAACTTCCATGAAAAGAAAGCATCTTAAATTGGCAAGAAACAATCCATGTCACAAGCCAGTTAGTCAAAAAATGTTTGTCTGTTTGGAGGGCCCAGAATGATCATGGTAACATCTACCTTTTATGAAATGCTTATCATGGACCAGGCATCATGCAGAACCCTTGGGATTTCATGTCTCTTCACTTCCATGATGCAGATGCATCCTGTAAATCATGAGATTAAAGATGAAGAAGCAGAGACAGAAAAATTAAATCTCTTGTTGAGGGGGCAGAGCTGGAATTTAAGCCTTGGAGCGCGTAACTCAGAAGTGGGGCAGAGTTAGCCAGCATGCTGCATTGTCAGTACAGGTGTGCTCTTAACCTCTGTTCACAAAGGTGTGTTGATGCAAACGAAGAAAAAAATAAGGCACTATGCCTCTAGAGGAGAACTGTCGTTCCCCTGGCTTGTGTTTCTGTCTCCCATCAGACTGAGAGCAACCAGAGAGGTTCTGTTACCGAATGCAAGTTTGTGTGCCCGACACCCAGTGACGCCAAACAAACTGAAATGCCCGAGCTTGGAGCAGAGAAAGGTTTATTGCAGGGCTAAGCAAGGAGAATGGCTAGCTCGTGCTCAGAAAAACCCAAACTCACCAATGGTTTTCGGGAAGATGTTCACATAGGCAAATTTTGGGGGAAGGGCTGCAGGGCTTGTGACTTTCATTTGATTGGTTGGCGGTGAGGTAACAGGGCGGTGCTTCAGGAATCCTGTGCTCGGCCTGAAGTTACCATCCTCCACCTGGGTGAGGGCCTTAGTTCCAAAGAAGAACTCAAAGACGTCGTTATGGGGAATTCCCTGGCGATCCAGTGGTTAGGTCTTGGCACTTTCACTGTCATGGCAAGGCCAAAAAAAAAAAAAAAGAAATTGTTTATGTATATCCCTTGAGGAGGAACCAGGACCCTGCCCCATGGCTGCACTGTTGTTTCTTGAACACTCCTCCTTTGTTTCTGCATCCCCTCCCTTCCCTGATTAGCAACCATTTGGATTTGCCCTCTGGAACTCAGGGAAGGTCAAGGAGGCTGAATGAAGCCTATTTCCTACAAACAAGAAACAAGGACACAGAAAGGGCTTATACCTGGGACGGCCCACAGGATCCTGCTCCATTTCCTAGACTGTCCCATCTACCCAGCCCAGCAAAACAGAAATCTGTATGCCGTTCGGATAACATTGCCTCTCTCTCACCTTCCACAACAGTTGGTGAGTTCCATTACATCAATATCTTTCAATTCTTTCCCCTGTGAACCAGCTCCTCTGCAGCATTCTGTTCAGGATGGCTTAATTGGGAAGTCTATGCATTTTCTCTAGCTTCAGGTATGGCTGTATCCAGGAGTTCACAAAGTGTCTCCAGCCTGGGATTCAGCTGTAGACTCCTAACTAGCACCGAGTCCTCCTATCTGTGCTCCTCCAACTTCACCACCTTCCCAGCCCAACCCCATCCATTTATCTGCCAGTTCCTGAGATGTCTTTCTGAAATGAAAATGTGATCACCAGAAGCTTTCACTGGCAGGATATCTTAACTCCTCCCTTGGCACAACCTGTCATATGTCGAGCTCCCCAATCTCACCTCCCACTCTTTTTCCCCACGTGCCATATAAAGAAACATTATCCCCAGTTTGGAACCCTGGACGCCCTCAGGATGTTATAGCAGACTACCACAGCTTTGTTCTCAAGTCTGCCCAAGGGTCATCTGACTCTCAAGGCATCAGGAGCCCCCTGAGGGAGTCACAACCCAGTTTGCTGGCCTGCCTGCTCCTGGAATTTCTGATTTGGTGGGCCTGAATTTGGGTGGAACCCGAGCATTACATTTCTAACAATTCCCTAGGGCTGATGCTACTGGTCCAGGGACCACACTTTAAGAACCTCAGCTCTAGGGCAAATTTTTCCTGGAAAGAGCCAGGTAGTAAAGATTTTCTGGGCCAGATGATCTGTGTTGCAACTATTCAACTCTGCTCTTGCGGCAGGAAAGCAGCCAGAGGGGATATGTAAATGCACGGGCTTGTTCTGATAAAACTTTGTTTACATAAACAAGCAGTGGGCCTTATCTGACCCGGTGTTTGCCTCTCCAAGGAATGGTCATTTTGTTTGACTTATTATTTATCATTAGGACCTACACTCTGTCAATTTAGATGTTAACTTGTAGGAGTATTAGTAAGTTACAAATGACTTTTGTCCCACAGACATGAAAATGATTTACCTCTGCAAGAAAAGATAGCCCCAAATGCTACCATTTTATCGCCTTGCAGGGCATTAACCTTTCTGCGTTGGACTTTATCATTTTATTCCAGCAATCTTTCTCTCATTAACTATACAGACTCAGTGTCTTGTGTTCTCCCTTGAACCCACCCCCGACCCTGCTGCTTTTCCTGAGCTAAGCGAACCTCTGACGTGGGCTCACTATTATATTTGCATGTCATGTTTTAACTTTTGGAAAATGACACTTGCACACCGACAACAATAATGTATTTATGGCACTCATTTGGTGGTACGTGACTAAGTTCCAGTCCAAAGTAGCAAAAGTTTGAGGGGGGTGGGGGTCTCAGTTCATGTGGGAATCTGAGTTGTCTCCACTTTCCAGCTGCTGTACCCAAGGGCTCAAGAAATAGTGTCAGCTCTCTCTCACCTGTGTCTCTGTCTCTGTCTTTCTCTCCTTCTCTCCATCTCGCCTCTGCTGAAATCTGCTTGGCTTCTTTTTTCTTTTTTTTAATTGAAGTATAGTTGGTTTACAATATTGTGTTAGTTTCAGGTGTACAGCAAAGTGATTCAGTTATACATATATACATATTCTTTTCCATTATGGTTTATTACAGGTTTATTGCATACAATTCCTGCTTCGCTTCTAAAGAGGGGATTCTCACGTGACCACAAGTTGCCCACCCACTAGAAGCCTGGCATTCAGCGTGTGGCCCCATTACAGTGCTTGTCTTTGTCTCATGGGCTCTGATATATCCTGGGAGCAGTTCGATGGACCCAGCTTGGGTCAGGTGCCCTCTAGGAGCCAAACACTGAGCTCAGTTGATGAGAATCATCCTCTGATTAGCTGGGTCCAGATCAGGGCCTGACCCTGGGGTAGGGGAGCGTGGGAGCCACCCGCCCCCCAGAAGGAACAAGATGATTCTGGAGTAGGCGTGGGGTGCTGGGCAGACCAGCATAATTCTTCTGTTACCACAGACGACTGCTGTAGTCTGCTGCTACTACTGCTTTTTCTACTGTGCCTACAACAACAATGACAACAACAAATAATAACAATAATTTTATTTATTATTGAGTCCATGCTAAGGAGCCAGCACTGTGCCAAATGCTTGACCTTCCTAATCTGCTCCCCATCACAAGCAGCTCCACATTCTTCCTACCGGCATTAGCTCCATTTCCCAGAAGAAGACGCTGAGGCTTGGAAAAGCTGAGTACGTCACCCAAGTTTACACAGCTAATAAGTGACGGAGATGGTGACCCAAGTCCATCCAAATCCGAAGCTTGTGTGGGGCTTGCAAGATGAATAAACTAGGAGTCTGCCAGGTTAGACTGGAGGGATTAGGGAAGGGTGTTTTAGACAGAGGGAAGGGCACTGCTAAGCTATGGAGCAGTGGGAGACCACGTTGCGACTGGGAAGGCAACCCCGTAAGGCCATAGCCAGGCCAGAGAGCCTCACGGTAGTTCTCTGTCCAGGCTGTGTGTTAAGACACCTGGGGGGAGGGGGACTTCCCTGGTGGCCCAGTGGTTAAGAATCCGCTTGCCAGTGCAGGGGACACAGGTTTGAGCCCTGGTCCGGGAAGATCCCACATGCCATGGAGCAACTAAGCCCGTGCGCCGCAACTACTGAGCCTGTGCTCTATAGCCCGTGAGCCACAACTACGGAGCCCGTGCGCCACAACCACTGAAGCCCAGGCACCTAGAGCCCGTGCTCCGCAACAAGAGAAGCCACCGCATGAGACGCCTGTGCACTGCAATGAAGAGTAGCCCCTGCTCGCCGCAACTAGAGAAAGCCCACGCGCAGCAACGACGACACGATAAGGCCAAAAAAAGAAAAAAAAACACCTGGGGGGATGGGGTGTTCATTAAACACACCCAGAGATTTTGATTGAATTGGTCTAGGATTGGGTCCCAGTGTCAGTAGTTTAAAACTATAAATAGAAGCAAAAGCAAAAACTCCTCAAGAAGTTCTAACATAACAGCACAAACATGGTAGCAAAGTCCAGATTTTGGAGGCAGATGACTCTTTTTTTTTTTTTTTTTTTTTTTTTTGTGCGGTAGGCGGGCCTCTCACTGTTGTGGCCTCTCCCGTTGCGGAGCACAGGCTCCGGACGCGCAGGCTCCGGACGCGCAGGCTCAGCGGCCACGGCTCACGGGCCCAGCCGCTCCGCGGCATGTGGGATCTTCCCGGACCGGGGCACGAACCCGCGTCCCCTGCATCGAGCAGGCGGACTCCCAACCACTGCGCCACCAGGGAAGCCCTATACGATCTCATTTAATCCTGACGACCACACTTCAAAAAAGGCATCAAAGGAGGAAACCGAGGCTTCCTGCAGTGGACGTGCCCACAGCTCACCCCCTGCTGACTGGCAAGAGCTGGAAACTGAACTTGGACCTCTGGGACACCAAAGCCCGTGTTGTAGATTCCAATCACATCCATGCTAATAACAAGCTCATGGGGGGAAAAAAAATCAAACAATCATAGGGCTTGTGCCAGAGTGCTGGAGTCATGGATTATTTTTTTTTCTTTCATATCTCTTGATTTTGTTTCAGTAATCAGTCTTCACTTGAGAGTAGAAAAGATACTTATTTTCATAGGCTAAAGGAGCTTGAAAGAATGCTACACTATTTCTTCCCACCCCCAGCTGTCTGTCTGGCAAGAAAATAAAAAATGTTAGGTGAAAATCAATGAAAAATAAGGAATTCTTTGATGAATGGGAAAGGGAAGGGTTTGTAGGAGTGACTGAATCAAGAAACATGAAAGGGGGCTTCCCTGGTGGCGCAGTGGTTGAGAGTCCGCCTGCCGATGCAGGGGACACGGGTTCGTGCCCTGGTCCGGGAGGATCCCACATGCCGCGGAGCGGCTGGGCCCGTGAGCCATGGCCGCTGAGCCTGCGCGTCCGGAGCCTGTGCTCCGCAACGCGAGGGGCCACAGCAGTGAGAGGCCCGCGTACCGCAAAAAAAAAAAAAAAAAAAAAGAAACATGAAAGGGTATTAAATAGTGACGTCGCCACTTTAACTAATTAGTAATATGAATGTGTTACAGTTAATGGATTAATCTACATGGTACAAGCTGCCTTCCGTCGTCCCAGTTGATCTCAGTATCTAACCCAAGAGGCAGGCAGGACACACTGGCCTTTCCTGCTTAGGTAGGAACTAAGTTACAGAAAATCAATGATTCCTTTGAGTGCTCAAAGTGACTTGAGGCCGGAATTAATGCAACCCAGATCAATGGTGCATCTTACCTTGTCTTATTCCTTTTCTTGAGCACTTTTCCCCCTGGCCAAGGTCCTTTGTGATAGTGGCACCTGTTCTGTTATCTGGGGACAGTGCCCCACCCTGGGGAGGGCAGAGACAAGGACATAAGTACAGCAGAGAAAGGAGGAACTGCACTGGCAGTGTGTAGGTATTTTACTCAAGAAGAGGCATCAACTATACGAGTTCTGCCACCAAGAATAAAAGAGCAAAGGAAGGTGAAGAAATAAATGGGTGAACACACCAGTCAGGGAGCTGAGAGGAGAGGCAGCAACCTGTGTTCCCTCCTCCATCTGCTTCCTTCCCTCCTCGGGCAGGTTGCTGGGCTGAATTTGATGTTGATGTTTAAAGATTTAACATATTTGAGATAACATGCCCTGAAGAACAAGCCGTGATTAGGGGCTCAGGGGGACAACCTGAGGATCCTTTCCTTTCTACTCTGGATGAAAAACCCTCAGAGTTGGGTTTTGTTTTTGTTTTTGTTTTTGTTTTTGCAGTACGCGGGGTTCTCACTGTTGCGCGGCCTCTCCCGTTGGGGAGCACGGGCTCCGGACGCGCAGGCTTAGCGGCCATGGCTCACGGGCCCAGCCGCGCCGCGGCACGTGGGATCTTCCCGGACCGGGGCACGAACCCGCGTCCCCTGCAACGGCAGGCGGACTCTCAACCGCTGCGCCACCAGGGAAGTCCCAGAGTTGGTTTTATTAAGTGACACAGAGGGAAGAAGACCGTGTGACAATGGAAGCAGAGATTGGAGTGCTGACGCTCTAAGCCGAGGATCCCCAGCAGCACCAGAAGGTGGAGAGAGGCCTGAAATAGATGCTTCCTCAGAGCATCTATTTGTTACAGCAGCCCTAGGAAACTCATACAGGCAGCAAGAGCAGTATGACCTACTAGGCAGGTCCTTTCCCGAGGGAATGGGATTGCTCTGATGGGCAAATTTGGCTCAAGGACTTTTACCCAGCCCTTCCCCATCCCCACTCCTGCCCAGGGGACAGCCAGGCACCAGTGCAGGTCTCTCCCCGCCGCCCCCAGCTCCCTCCCATTTTCCCCTCTTGCTTCTCAGAGCACCTGACCGGACACCCTCATATCTCAATGGTTCTCAAGCTTTCACCTTTTTTGCTTCATCTATTCCTTTTTCCTTTCTGTTTTTTTCTCAAGTCTTTTGAAGCAAATCCCATCCATCCTGTCATTTCACCTGTACATATTTCAGCATATATCCCTTAAAACAGGAAGTAGTGTTTTCTAGCGTAATCTCAAAGCCACTAGCACACCCAACACATTTGTTGGTGAATAATTCTCTAGTCTCCTCTAGGCCTTATGTACACTACTAGGTTGTCTCAGAAATGTCCTTTTGAATGAAATAATGCCATTTGCAGCAACATGGATGGACCTAGAGGTTCTCATACTGAGTGAAGTAAGTTAGAAAGAGAAACAAATATCATATTATATCGCTGATATGTGGAATCTGAAATATGACACAAATGAGCTTATCTACAGAATAGAAACAAACCCACAGACATAGAGAACAGACTGTGGTTGCCAAGAGGGAGGGGGCTAGGGGAAGGATGGGTTGGGATTTGGGGTTAGCAGATGCAAACTATTATATTATATATAGGATGGATAAACAACATCCTACTGTATAGCATAGGGAATATCAATATATTCAATATCCTGTGACAAACCATAAAGGAAAGAAATGTAAAAAACCATGTATATATATGTATAAGTGATCACTTTGCTGTACAGCAGAAATTAACACAATTTTAAAATCAACTATACTTCAGTAAAATAATCTTTTTGTGTGTGTGTGTGGCTGCCTTGGGTCTTTGTTGCTGCTCATGGGCTTTCTCTAGTTGCAGCAAGCAGGGGCTACTATTCATTGCGGTGCGCGGGCTTCTCATTGCGGTGGCTTCTCTTGTTGCAGAGTGCGGTCTTCAGTAGTCGTGGCTCGCAAGCTCAGTAGTCGTGGCACACAGGCTTCGTTGCTCTGCGGCATGTGGGATCTTCCCAGACCAGGGCTTGAACCCGTGTCCCATGCATCGGCAGGGGGACTCTCAACCACTGCGCCACCAGGGAAGCCCTATTTTGTATTCTTTTAAAGCTTTTTCATGTCAGCTGCATTCTCATACCTGCTTGTGACTTCAGTTGGTTGTGATATATTGCTTTGATTGAGGTGTGAAGAAAATCCAGCCTCACACAGGGCATGCAGTTGGGAAAGGGAGAGAGGAGTATTTTCCTGAAAAGTATAGTCCTCATAAGGAATGGCCTTTTTTAAGAAAAAAAGAAAAAAAAGGGAATGACCTTTTTTGGTAATTATGGACATTTTTCTCTGTTGCTCTGTGAAAAGCAGACAAATTTCTTAAAGGAAAATTGGAAAGTGGAATGTGAAATCATCTCTGAATTTTTCGTACACTGTTAGATTAAAGTCCATTGGTCTATCTTGTACTTTGAATGGATCTTCTATTCATGCATGATTTTATAACATCCTACATGGGTCATTTGGAAAATATTGATTCAGTGAGTTATACACATCTTCCAGATGTTGAAATGTCCCATTAGTCAATATTTTTTTTAAAAAATCTCATTTGTTACTATCACCGCCAATCTCATCAGAAAAGTCCTTCAGTGTTGGGAAGCTGCCCAGCTCACAATGGTGGATACATTTCCTCAAATTCTAATTTTTGCTTGAAAGCTTGAATTTTATCATTGGCGATAAATCGTGTCAAATGCACTGAGCCTTTGCAAACATCACCCTCCTTTCCAAAAAGTCTGGGAATCCTAATGATAATTTCCATCATTTATCGAGCCCTTGTTCTATGCTGAACGACTTATTAAGCAATTTACGTACCTGTTCTTGTCATTATGTTCATTTCTACTACATTCCTGAAAGGTATTATTCCTCCTATTTTACAGATGAGGAAACTGAGGTCCAGAGAGGTAGGTACTTGCCCAAGGTCACACAGCTAGTGGTACTCTTCTATACTCTCAGAGTTTCAGAAAAGAATTTTCCAGGTAGGACAGGTCTAACTGAAATACTCTGACCCCTTGGGCCCAAGAGTTAACTCCTGCTTGTCAGAACATGTATCCATTGGTTCAGATGGGGAAATATGGGTGCCCCCTCAAGATATAGCCATCAAGGCTTAGCTCAAATGTTACCTCCTTGGAGAAAACTTACAGCCTCCCTGGGATACAATAAAAAGTCTCTTAGGGCTTCCCTGGTGGCGCAGCGGTTGAGAATCTGCCTGCCGATGCAGGGGACACGGGTTCGTGCCCCGGTCCGGGAGGATCCCACATACCGCGGAGCGGCTGGGCCCGTGAGCCATGGCCGCTGAGCCTGCGCGTCCGGAGCCTGTGCTCTGCAACGGGAGATGCCACAACAGTGAGAGGCCCGCGTACCGCAAAAAAAAGTCCCTTATCACTTATTGATTGGTAGTTAAAAAGTGCTCAGCACCGTACTCCATGTGCTAGATCCGTTACTTTGTTTCCTCCTGGCAACAGGCTTGCAAAGGAGGTGGTATTATCCCCTATGTAAATTTCCTGTTGTAACAAATGACCACAAATTGACTGGTTTACAAATTATTATTTTATAGTTCTGTAGGTCAGAAGACTCACTGGGCTAAAATCAAGGTGTAGGCAAGGCTTTGTTCCTCCTGGAGGCTTTAGGAGTGAGTCTGTCTCTTTTCTAACTTCTAGAACCTCCTGCATTCCCTGGCTCATAACCCTACCTTCATGTTCAAAGCTAGCTGCTTAGCATCTTGAAATCCCCCCCCCACCCGCTTGTTACTTCTCTGATTGTCTGACCTTCTGGCTTCCTCGCTCCTGTTTTTAAAGGATCTTTGTGTTTATATGGGTCCCACCCACATAATCCAGAATGATCTCTTCATCTCAAAGTCCTCAATTTAATCCCATCTGCAAAATTCCTTTTACCACGAAAAATTCAGAGGTGATTTCACATTCCACTTTCCAGTTTTCCTTTAAGAAATTTGTCTGCTTTTCACAGAGCAACAGAGAAAAATGTCCATAATTACCAAAAAAGGTCATTCCCTTTTTTTTCTTTTTTTCTTAAAAAAGGCCATTCCTTATGAGGACTATACTTTTCAGGAAAATACTCCTCTCTCCCTTTCCCAGCATCTGCACGGGTTCTGGAGATTAGGAAGTGAACATTTTTGGGATGAGATTTTTCTGCCTACCACACCTCCTTTTACAAAAGAGTCATAGAAAGTTTAAGTAACCTGCTGAAATTCACGCAACCCAGTGAGTGGGGGACTCAGGATTTTATTTCTGGCCTGTCTTGACTCTGGGCTCCTCCCTTGTCTCTTATTGCAAGTATGAGGTTTGCTAAGGACTGCAGGGCCCACAGTGTTTGTTCATATTTTCCTTTTCACATTTACCTCCTGGTATTGAAATTATGTGGTACCACCATTAAAAACAAACAAACATAAAACATACTGTTGGTAATCCCTGGCAGTCCGGTGGTGAGAGGACTCCAGGACTCCATTGTAGGGGGCACGCCACGAGTCTGATCCCTGGTTGGGGAACTAACATCCTGCAAGCTACCCAGTGCGGCCAAAAAAACCCAAAAAAACAAACAACCCAAAAAAAACCCCACCCCCCAAAACACCCCAATAGTGTCAACATTAAAAAAAAACTTGTGGTAATATCTCTGTAAGTGATTTGAAAATTAGAACTGAGTATCATTGATCATAATTTTGATTTTTTTTTTTTTTTTTGGCTGAGTTGGGTGTTTGTTGCTGCGCGCGGGGGCTACTCTTTGTTTTGGTGCGCGGGCTTCTCATTGTGGTGGCTTCTCTCTTGCGGAGCACAGGCTCTAGGTGCGTGGGCTCAGTAGCTGTGGCACGTGGGCTTAGTTGCTCTGTGGGATCTTCCTGGACCAGGGCTCAAACCCATGTCCCCTTTTTTGGCAGGCAGATTCTTAACCACTGTGCCACCCGGGAAGTCCCATAATTTTGATTTTTTGTTCAAGAACCGTTATGATGAAAATCATATGTCAACCATTATGTCACCAATGTGTTTTCATATCCCTCCCTGTCTTTCTCTATATGTAGGCAGAATTTTTCTGTGGTTTTAACCACAGCATGGATACAGTATTGTGTTGTTTCCCTAGCTTTTTTTTTTTTTTTGGCCGAGCCGCGGGGCTTGTGGGATCATATTGCCCTGACTGGGGATTGAACCCGGGCCACCGCAGTGAGAGCACGGAGTCCTAACCACTGGACTGCCAGGGAATTCCCTTCCCAAGCTTTTTGTTAAAATTTTTTTTCAAGCATACAGAAAAGTTGATGGTACCACTTAGATCCAACAACTGTTAACATTTTGCATTATTTACTTTCTCTCCCTCTATGTCTATTTGTGTGTGCTTATATAATTTTATTTTTTGTTGCACCATTAAAAAATAGCTCAGGTATTATGACATTCATCCCTAAATTCTTCAGATGCATATCCTAACAAAAGAACATTCTCTCACATGAGAGTAATATCATTATTATACTATGGAAGTTACCAATAATTCACTAACATCATCTACATCCAAGCCATACGCAACTTTCTCCAACTGTCAAAAAATATTTACCAGGTTAAAAAACACCAGTATCCAATCAAGATTCACGCACTGTATTCGGTTAAGTATTTTTTTTTATCTCTTATTTTATTTTTAGAATTTTGTGTTGAAGTATAGTTGATTTAAAATGTGTTAACTTCTGCTGTACAGAGAAGTGATTCAGTTATACGTATATATGTTCTTTTTCATATTCTTTTCCATTGTGGTTTATCGCAGGCTATTGAATATAGTTATAGTTCCCTGTGCTATACAGTAGGACATTGTTTTTTATCTATTTTATATATAGTAGTTTGTATCAGTTTAGCTCTTTTATTTTCGACAATCCCTTCCCCTTCTTATATTTTTCATGGCATCCCATTGTTGCAAAGACCAGGCCCTCTGCCTTATGGAATGTGGCAATGGATCTTACTGTTGATTCCCTCTGCTCAGCACGGGGTCTGGTAATAGTAGCCTCTCTGTCTGTTTGCTGAGCACTTGAAAACAGCGATCATGGTTATGAATAAGAATCACAGAAGCTAATGTTTATTGAGGGCTGGTGCGTTCACACTCACCTAATTTGATCCTCACAGAAATCTTGGGAGTTAAGAAGTTTTATTAGCCTCATTCACAGGTGAGGAAAGCAAAGACTTAGGAAACGGAATTAACTTGCCCGAATCACTCAGCTAGAAGGGACAAAGTAGGTGATAAACTGCATGGTCAGGTAGGGGGTTCACTGTTTCTTGAACCAATGACCCGAAAGCTCGTCTGTCTGTATGCGTGCATGTATGCGTGTGATAGTCAACGCTGAGTGCTTACTATTTGCCAGGCCCCAATCCTAAACGCTTTACCGGTGCGTTTTCATTTTTATTTCTTCAAAATATTCTCCAATGCCTAGCTAAAGGCGTGGCACAGAGTAGACGCTCAGATAGTGTTTGTGGAATGAATGAGAAGTGAATAAATTAATGAATGGACGGATGTGACCTCCATAAACCGGGACTACTCTGAGATATTCAGCGCGCACTTCGAAGACCCCAGCCCAGGACGACCCCGGCCCAGGACGCCCTTGGGGTTCGGGGGCGCGGGCGGACTTCAGGCCGCGGCTCCCGGGCTCCGGACATCCCGAGTCCCGCCCACCATCCAGGTGGCCTCCCGGCTGGTGAGAAAGCCGGGCCGACCGGGCGCTTTGGCGTTATCACCTCCGTCCACTGTCCTTTCCCCTCCGGCGCCGCAGCCGGCCCCGGGAGCTCCAGGTCCGCGGTGGGCGGGCCCGCATCCGCTAAGGGCCGCGGGCTAGCGGTCCGCCCCGGGCCGACTCCCGCCGCGCACGCCCACCTGTCGGCCGCGCCTGCGCAGCGCGCGCTCGGCGCGCCCGGCCTCCCCGCGCCCCGCGGCACGCGGCCAGTGCGCAGGCGCGGCGGCCGATGCGAGTGTGTATGTGCGGGCGAGAAGATGGCGGCGGCGGGGGAAGCAGCGTGAGGAGTCGGACGAGCGCCGAGGCTCATTGAAACGGGCCGCCATGGCCCTCCGCAACCCGCAGGTAGCACCCGGCCGGCGCCCTCGGCGGGAAGGGGCCCCGGGCCGCGGGCGGGTGGGCGCCGGGGCGGACGGGCGGGCGGGCGCACCCCGGCCCCGAGCGAGCGTGTGGGAGTGGGGGAGGGCGCCGGGACACGCTGCCCGGGACTAGGCCCCGAGCCTCCCGCCGCCTCCGCGCCTCCGTCGCCTGCAGCCCGGCCCGCCCCGCGCCAGAGCCCACCAGGCCCCGCTTCAGAGGGGCGGCGGAGAGGGGGCGCCCGGGCCGGCCTGGAGAGGGCGTGGGGGGCGCGAAAGGGTTAATCTCGGGGCTGGACCGCGGGGCGAGCCGGCGGTGCAGATGGGGCCCTGGCTGCCCCGGCAGGCAGCCGGGAATCTTCGGGAGGCCCCGGGGCGGCACAGCCTTCCACGCCCTGTGGTCGCCTCTCTGCCCGGAACGAGCCACCAAGATTTGGGGTGCCTCGTTTTCCCCATGGCCCCAAAGGTTGCTTTCGCAGTTTGATTGACCCGGGGCGGGGGGGCGGCTTGCTGGTGTTCTGACTTTTAGACTCAAGTCACTAAGAAGCAGCCTAAGGTTACTGGTGCAAAGAAAACTCGAAATAACTCGCCAGGACCATACTTGTACCTGCCTTTGAGTGACATCTTTTGCACGAATCCGCCTCAGCCTGGCTGACACTACTAGCGCACCCTGTCAGAGCGGTATCTTAGGGGTCGTTTGTGATAATCCCGTAGTGGAAAGAAAGAGTAAAACTCACGCTTTTAGAGAGAGATGAGTGTAGAGTTGAACTCTTATTCCCACTCCCCCAAATACAATCGGTCTGGATAAAAATCGGCATGTGGTATTATTTGTCAGGCTTGCTGTGGACCGCTGATGTGTTGACTTCTAAGCCCTAGAAGTTATTGCGCGTTTTTATATCATCTCAGTGTGCTGTTGTATTAAATAAGGGAAAATGAAACAAAGTAGCTGTTGGAAAACTGGTGGCCGGTAAATCGTAACCCTTTCAAAGCAATTGGTTTTTCTTGCCCTTTTGGAAATAGAGTCAGGTTTTAGTAACTATTGGAATTAACGCGTGTCGCGGAATTTGAGACTTGATAACTTTAAAAAAAATGAAATCTTACAGGAAGCAGCAATTTTGTTAAACTTTTGGCACTTTAGTTTGCTCTACAACTTTCCGCTTTAAACTTTTGTTCACTTGTACATCTGCGTTTTAAAGTAACTCAGTATAGTTCTTTGCACAAAAAGAAGGGCTTAGTAGTGGTTGAATAAGTTTTACAAGGGTGCAATTCAAAGATTTCTTTCCTTAAGAGATTTGGTGTTTGCCTTTTTCTCACCTTAAATTTTATTTTTAAATTAAGCTTTGCTCTTATTTAAAAAAAATTTAAATTTTATTATTATTTTTGGCTGCGTTGGGTCTTTGTTGCTGCGCACGGGCTTTCTCTAGTTGCGGCGAGCGGGGGCTACTCTTCGTTGCGGTGCGCAGGCTTCTCATGGCGGTGGCTCCTCTTGTTGTGGAGCATGGGCTCTAAGTGCACGGGCTTCAGTAGTTGTGGCTCTCGGACTCAGTAGCTGTGGCGCACGGGCTTAGTTGCTCTGCCGCACGTGGGATCTTCCTGGACCAGGGCTCGAACCCTGTCCTCTGCACTGGCAGGCGGATTCTTAACCACTGAGTCACTAGGGAAGTCCCCACTTCCATTATCAGAAGCACCAATCGCAATGCAAAGTGAAATGTTAATGAGTGGTGATAATAGGTAAAAGTGATTGTAATTTCATTTACTTTCCTAAATGTCCTAGTATTTATGTTTTATACAGCAATATTGCCTATACACATCTTTAGAAAATTGGAGTGGCAACAGTTAGCTGAACATAATGCAGGGGACACGGGTTCGAGCCCTGGTCTGGGAAGATCCCACATGCCATGGAGCAACTAAGCCCGTGCGCGCCACAGCTACTGAGCCCGCGTGCCACAACTGCTGAAGCCCGCGTGCCTAGAGCCCGTGCTCCGCAACAAGAGAAGCCACTGCAGTGAGAAGCCTGCGCGGCGCAACTAGAGAAAACACAGCAACAAAGACCCAATGCAGCCAAAAATAAAATAAATAAATTTGTAAAAAAAATTAAAGTGTGATTAAAATGCTTTTAAGTTGTAGCATGCAGAAGGTAGGAAAGGAAATAGTATGAGTTCTCATATTTTCTTTCTTTTCCTAATTTTCTTTTCAGAAGAATACTAATGAAAACAAGTAATGAAACATATGTGATAGGATTTAATGATTGGATCCTGCTTGAGTCAGGCTAAGCATTTTAATAATTTTGTTTTATTCAGTTACCTGCTGTCCTGAAGGTCCTGCCATAGTCATGGCCATTCATTAATTCAACAAATATTGGTTGGGCTCTCGCTCTCTGCTAAGCACTGTTATTTGTTATTATGCGTGTTACTTGTTTATTATTGGGGATATCAATCACAGATTAACAGTAAGGGTCCTATTTTCTTTTTTCTTATATTAAGTTTTTATAAGGGTCCTATTTTAAAATTGGATTTTTAAGGTTACAATTTAAAACATTTATATAGTTTATAGCCTATTTCCATACCAATGATTGAACCCTTTTCCCTGGATTGACATGAAACAGTGCAAAACTTAGAAACTTTTGTAATGCCAGTAGTTTTCAACACATTTTAATAAATACAACAAACTTTGACAGTTGAAGTGAAAGTACATCTCTGACATTTGTTGGCATGAGGGAACTGATTTAAATGATTTGGGGTAATTAATTTGAACTGACCAATTCTGCCGTAAACCAGAAGAGATTTTTGTGATCATTGCAGTCATTTATAGTGAAAACTCTACAATAATGCTTCGTACATCCTATTTGGACATCGTGTGGCTGCTCCCGTCCCGGTCCTGCGCAGCGGGCTCCCCCTCATCTTTTCACTGCCTCACGTATAGCATTGTGGCGCCCACATTTTACACTGTGGAATTTCTTGGATCCAGTTGACAGCATATGGTAGAGTGTTGCTGTATCGTTGAATATCTTTGTAACTGAAAGTTAGTAGTTCTCCAAAGAGATACATTTTTATTGGAGTTTCATAGTGAGCAACTGAAGTAAATAAAATTATTTGAAATACGGGATATTTGGAGATACCAGTTTTCCTTTGCATCGTGACAGCAAAATCTTGAAACATGTCCTCAGACTAGATAAGCCATTTGAAGCTTGTGCGTTGATGGTCGCCTCAGTGGTTTTTACACAGGAGCAGTGGAGATGAGCCTTATCCAGGGCCTCACCCTCACCCTCTGGAGCCTGTCTTGTGGGGACCAGTGTCCTGAAATGAGCAGATAGTAAGTGGACCGCCTCATTCTAAATTCCTCTCTAGAGCAACAGTTAGGACATATATTCGAGAGCTTTTTTATGTGGAACTGAAGTGATTTGAATAGTGGTTTGCATAGGAAAACTTAAAGGATAAAAGAATTCCAAAGCTTAATGATTATTTAATGCCAGGCCTAGTGGCACATTTACTTTGTGCTGTGTTCAGAATATAATACTGAAGTAATTGAGAAAAGTTGTATCGTCTCTGCTTGAGTTATAGTTCATCAGGGTTATTTTTTGTTTGTTCTTGTGTTTTTACAAATTTCAGACAGGCAGATACTTGCTGTGAATGGATCTGGTTTTTCAAGTGGCCCGTTAAGGGTGGCTGCCGAGGACACTTCTTACTGATGATACACTAAATACCAAAACAGTGGGAAGCGCTTGCCTTTGAATCTGTAACTGCGCTGTTACAGTTGTCTTTACTGCCACACATGCAAGAATCACTGTGGCACAAGACAGATAAATCTGTTTGCAATGGAATTTACTGGCCTTGGGCCACTGGATTACTGTCATTTGTCACTTTAGTGCTACTTCAGCAGTGTAGATGTTCATTTCCAAAGACGTACATGTGCTTGGACTGCAGTTTTCCTGTTTATTGAAGTGATCTCCCAATAGGTCTTTCTGTGACCGTTTCCGTCAGTGCAGTCTGTACTAAGAACAATAGGCAAGATAAAGGTAGCCCGTGGGGTAGGTTTATAGTACTATTTGTTTCAAGAATCAGGAATTGTAGAATCTATCGTAAACCTAGATGTGGAGTCTTCAGAGTGTAGACTTTTCATGAGTGGGCTACTTTCTGACTGTTTAAAAGCTCCGCAGATATGACCCCGTTTTCAGCAGGAGACCCAAGAAACCAATAGCTCCATGCTGCTCCCTGTTTTGAAAGGCGCTGTCCTCAGGTTGCCCTCTCCTGGGAACAGGGTCGGTGAGGTGTAGAGTGGAAGTGTGGTTTGGGGCAGGGAGTGAGAGGATACAGCGTGTCTTCCTGGACTTTCCCTTTCTGGCTCACTTGAGAATTGAGAGATGACCATGTGCCTGCAGAGTGTTAGCCCAGGTCTGCACCAAGGGTCTGCGCACCGAGGACGCCTGCTCTTGTCCCTCAGGCCCCTCCCTCCTGGGATGTTTCACAGTGTGACTTCCCCATGGTAGTTCCTCAGTGAAGGTTCATGGAATGGGCAAATGAATGAAATAAAGGTTTACATGTTTAAAGATATTAATGTGTTAGTAATTACTAAGGGTTGCTAATCTGCTACTAATTATTAATTACAAGATTTTGTGTAGAGTGCATTTTGGTGAAAGTTCTTACTGATTTTATTTTTAATTAATTTATTTTTGGCTGCATTGGGTCTTTGTTTCTGCGTGCAGGCTTTCGCTAGTTGCGGCGAGCGGGGGCTACTCTTCGTTGCGGTGCGCGGGCTTCTCATTGCTGTGGCTTCTCATTGTGGAGCATGGGCTCTAGGCACGAGGGCTTCAGTCGTGTGGCTTGCGGGCTCTAGAGCACAGGCTCAGTAGCTGTGGCGCATGGGCTTAGTTGCTCCAAGGCATGTGGGAATTTCCCAGACCAGGGCTCGAACCCGTGTCCCCTGCATTGGCAGGTGGATTCTTAACCACTGCGCCACGAGGGAAGTCCCACTGATTTTATTTTTAAATAC